ATAGAGTGCCAAGGAGCCGCAACACGCCGCAGCGTAGCACCGGGCCCCCGGCACACGACACGGAACAGGGAGGAAAGATTGGAATAAATCGATTGAAGGCACTTTATCTCTACGCTCACCGGAAAGCAATCAATAAAACAATACCGAGCTGGAGCTTTTCATTGCAAGTTTTCACCTTTGGCCCGCGAGGCCACGAAATACCGGTACTTGTCATCCCGTTTGGGCTCGGGAACGACTCGCACCCCGTCAATGGAAAGTTGTAATTCAGCCCATTGTGGACGCTAAGCCGCCGTCGCTTGCGCGGACGCTGGCGTTGGGACTTGCGCGCGCGCGGTCCACGGCCGCAAGGCTGCGCGATGGCACGGATCTTTTCTGGCATGAAAGACAGATAGATAGGGCCCAGGGGAGACGAATGAAGTTACGTAGGTATCTGGATACCATGAAAGATGACCGCCGCCGCCGTCGCAGAAGGCAGAAAGTAGAAAATCCTTCCGGGGCCCCCGCTAGGCGATTCGTAGTTAGAAAAGTGCTGGCGTCAGTGTCCGACGTTCGGGTCTTTTTTAGAGAGGATGGATAGGTTAGGCATGGCGGCTCCCAATCCCACGTCCCGTAAGCCCAAAAAGACGGACCCCCCCCGGTTCGATTTGTTCTCCTGAGTAAGAAGACCCACGTCACGTCTCTTTTGGAGCGGCTGCTCGATAGTGTCCTGGTGGGCGGGCGGGTGTGGATGGAGGTTTGTTCCTAGTGTATCCGTAGATTATCCTAGCATTCGGGGCGAAACCGTTGTGGAGATGACCAAAAGTAGCTTGACAGTAGCTCCGAAAAGATATCGGCGCTTTTTTCTGCCAGGCAACAACTGCCATCCATCATTCAACAAAGACAAGAGAGAGCCGAGGCGAGGAGAGGGAAACCAAGGTGGTGGCGGCGTCTAGCAGGGCGGGTTGGGCTGTCGTGGACTCGTGGCTCTTTGGGGGACACCCAGAATCGCAGGTCAGTTCGCTTGACCATGACACGACTTGTCAAGTTGCTTGCTGGTGGCACCGTCCCGAAGGATATACCCTTTCGTACGGAATGAGGACGGTCAATTAGAGTGGTGGTCGGGGCGCTTCCGCCGCTCCCGGGTGATTGGGTCCAATAATTCTTTGCAAAAATAGCAACAATATTGGGCAATACTACGGAAGTTTAGACGGTAATGAGCATCTGCAAGTGCAAGCTTTGTTGGCAATATTCATATCGACAATCGCGACGTTTCCACTCGATACCGAAATATTGGATGCGATAGTCTAAGCGAGAGAGGAAGATAGAGAGAGACAGAAAGAAAGGGTCAGAGTCAGAGTCAGAGAGAGGACTAGTCATTTTTGCCTCCAAGCGAATAGGCGAGAGCTGAACGTCGAATTTTCGTTGAGACAATCCGCTCGACACTAAGAATTAGGGCATCGAGATCTGCGGCATTCCGGTGACCGCGGGGCCCATATCGTTCTTAGCGGGGAAGCATGGCAAGCACACAAGCTCCTTGCTCTGTGCTCTGCTCAGGGCGGCAGCGGGGACTCGGGAGACAAAGGGGACAATCTCTCCGACAAAGCAAGACAAAGGAGGAAAAAAGCCGTTGGAAACTCTGAAAAAAGGAGACAGAATAGGGGTCAAGTTTCTGGGGGAACGACGTGTGAAGATATTTTCCACGACTCCAATCAATTTGCTCTGCGACTTCGCCTACGCGACCGTACGGGTTGAGCTGTGTCAGATTGATCGTGATCCGTCCTGAGGTTTCGAACCCATGGGCAACGAGGCCACGAGGGGCCACACGGGCTCCAGTGCTTCCTGAACCTGGAGGCTGGGAGCTGTGGTTCCCAACCCACCGGGACCAGGGGGGGTGTGTGGCACGAGGCACTGCAAGGTCAAGTCTCGAATTCAGTCAGACTTTGCTCGGCGGCGGTCCTTGTGCTCCGTCAATAGTGGGAAGCCGAGGGGTGACGCCACACAAGAGAAACGAGGAAGAGGGTGACAAACAGGAGAAGAAAAAGAATGGGCACAGTTGACTTAGCCACAGGACCCGGGCAATTCTTGAGTCGTCGCGAAGAAAGTTGGCACAACGAGTGAGAGATAGTAAACGAGCCAATGGCGGGCGCCTCGAATCACACAAGCAACGCTCTTCCCTGCCGTTCCGTCACCGATAACAGAGGTATTAATAGCAACGATCAACACAGGGGACACGAATCGGGGTTGGATGCTGAGCAGAGGTGTGGTGCTGTCGTGCAACCGCCCTTTGACGGCCTCTCGGATTCGGGCAATTGATGACGAGATTCGAACCTCGATTAGCTGCTAGCAAATGTCTGTTGGTGCCGTTTTCCCATCAACTGGAACCAAAATGTGAACGTGTATTTTGTTTTGCCCCCGGTCGCAATCGCTTTATCCGGGCTCATTTTGGCCACTTTATGGGTTCATGGGCTCACGTTGCTGTGCGTTCCGGGTTGGCCGGGGAGGGGGATTGGGGAGACAGATGGCTCACCGAGATGCATCCAAGTGTGGTTGTGTTTGCCTAGGGGGGGGGGGGGCGCGCGGGGCCGGGGGCGGGCGGGGGGCGTTGGGGGGCCGGGCGGTGGGGGCCGGGTGGGGGGGTGACCGTGCGCGGCGCGCTAGACACATGCGCGCGTGTGCGGTGCGGCGGCGTGCGGGCGGGGTGGGTGCGGGCTTCTCTCCAAATTTGGTGGCTGACAGTGGGGGTTCCTCGCGCGATGGACATGCCGATACACCAATATTCTTTTACACGATCAGGACTCACTTCATGGTGTCTACGGATACATGTGTTGTCCATGTAAGAATAAGACAGGTCAGAGGGGATACGACATGCGAGGTGGAAAAACTCGAACAGTGTGTGCTTGCTTCTAGGGTCGGGCGGGTGGCTTACGAACCGTCGTTGCATAGTCTGGATAATCTGGATAAGCCTGAATAGTCTGCATTAATGGGCTTGATCAATGATGACGGCGGCGGCGTATATGCAGGTCCGTGGCTGTGTCGAGTGCACAAAAAAAAAACCGGCGCTCCACTCCCCTGGTCCGTATTTCTTCGCACAGCCGCGTCATGCCGACGGCACCACCACCAACCCTGGAGTAGAGGAGAAAGGGGGGGTGGGTGACCAAACAAGCTTCTGGTTCAACTTGGCGAGAACTTACTCACGAGCACGATAGCCCTGCCAGCGAAGCCTCCTGGTTCCCCACTGTTGACCGAGAACTGCTCGTCTTATTGGATGTGGTAGAGACATATAGAAGTTGACAAGCTTCTTACCGGCTCCTCCTCTCGCCTTCTTCCCAACCTCGCTGTTTGAGTTTCAGCTTACTCCCACGCGAGTCTGCCCAGCTGTTCGGACGGATACGAGACATCAGACGAGGAACAAGACACTGACACCCGCCCGTTGGCTCTTCCTCTGTGCACTATCCGCAGCCTCTGTGCGCTAGAGGCTCTGGCTAATCTGCGCACTAAAGTCTAACCGCCCTGTCATCGAGCTGGTCAGGGCAGTTCCTGGGAACCACAGCGCCGTTGTCTGTGACCAGACTCCAGGGTCTCTTTTGGAAAGCCGGCGAGAGGAGCTCAGGAGACTGACGAGCGCGCGCGCGAGAGTGAGAGAGAGAGAGAGAGAGAGATACGCATGCGGACTTCAGGTTGATATCTGCGTGTGATACAGAGTACAGACAGGGTATACCGGTAGTACAGATAGAGATTGGTGATGGTGATAATGGCTTGACGGACCATGGAAAAAGGAAGGTGACTGATAACCACATGGGGGTTGTCAGACCAAGTCACCAAACCGAGTTGCGCCGTTGCAGTGAATAGAGTGCGGAATGGTGTCCGGATATGGATACATACGTTGTAGTAAGGGCAAAGAGCAAGCCACAACGTTTCGCCACCAAATGGGCCGCGGCAGGGCTCTGTTGAATCTGAGCCAATGCCGTGATATCAAATGGCTGTTCTATCCACTTCTTTTCTGACCGTCGACATTCGACAATTCGACAGGCCGAGCACAACATGCCCACACCATCACGCTCAGTCCGTCCCATCCCATCCCATCCCATCCATGATCCCCATCCCATGCCAGCGGCCGTGCTGCAACTGGTGGGACCATCTCCTGACTCGCTTGGCAGCTGCTGGCTCCTTATCGCCAGTCTTCCCGAAAATTCTTTTTCCTTTTCTTCGCCTATGCTGCTTCTCGCATGCCGCATGGACGCAGAATAAGGGGTCCTTTTTTTTTTTTTTTTTTTTTTGCTTTATCCAAGGCCACTGGCCAGAATCACATGTTGCGGGTTTGCGGGTTGCTGACACGAGAGAGGAAATATGCAATGCAATGCAATCATTCAATGGGCCATGCTCGCCGCCGCCGAACCAGCCTCCTCACTCGCCCAAGACATGCAGAATAAACGGCTTCCCACTTGACGCTTTAGAATTACCCCGTAGGACCACTGTTGGAAGACGTCTGTTAGCGCCCAGTAAAGTCGACCTTCGTCAAAGGCTGAAGCCACTGAAGCTTTCTCTCGGCGGCTGAGGGACATGGACACACACGCCCGACACAAGCCAAATGATCCCTGAAGGATCCCAGGATCGATTGGGTTCCCGGTAAAACACCCATGTCGGCCAGGAGTCCTGCAAAGTTCGACTTTTTTCCCTCTCTGCGGCTCCACCCTTGCTTGGCCCGAGTTCCGCTTGTAGTGTATCCCAACTCTTTGCCTGCCTGCCTGCCAACCCAGCCCAGCCCAGCCCACGGACATGGTAAAGGAGAGGATGACGGGACGGTCGTCGTCCGTCGTTGACCACATACACGGCACATCCACGCGCGCGAAAGGGGCCGCCGTCCGAACTACCCAACGAACAATGGACGGAGAGTGGGACAAAGGAACCCCTAACGTCCCTCCGTGCCTCCTAGCCTCTAGGAAGTCTTGGTAGGTAGCGGTAGACTCCTCCAAGGCTCCTCCAAGTTCCCGACCGGGAAGATCTGCGTTGCTGGCTCCAGCTCACCCGTGGAGGCCGGGCCCATGGCCTGGTGAGCATATTCTTAGGATCCAATCGGCCACCCTCCGCAACCCTGCCTGCGAAGCCGAAGACACCACCGCAAGGTCACCGCTATGATGCAGACGGGAGTAAACTTCAAGCTCGTATCCTAGAATGGTAGGCTCCGCAGGCGGCGGGCATGACGGATTCTGATGACCCTTTTTCGTGAGGCGATGCCCAGCAGCCGGGCGGGTCTGGCTCGTCTGGTCAGCCTCTCTCCATGTATCCTCCCACCCCTTACCACCACTACCACACACACCCGTGGACCGTGGACAGGCCCAGAAGAGGCAAGCAAGCATCAAGTGCTGTGCTGTTCAAAGATTTCCGTCTCCATAGTAAAGTCCATCTATCCCGTAGTCCCTTCTCCCCTCCCCATCTCTGACGTACGTTGCCTCTGCATTTCCTGCCTAGCTCTCGTTCTCGCTGGTGTGTGTATTTTGTGGGAAAGGGAAACTATCGCTCAACCATCTCTCTCACCTTTCGTCTCTCGTTCAGACCCCCTCTCAAACTGGCATCACTCGCTTTCCGCCGGTCCATGAATGCTGTTACACCTTGTTTACTTTTGTCACCATTTTTCTGATTAGTATTGTTGTTTATCTCTGGCGTGTTCCATTGCTTGATCTCAGCCAGCGCCTACCCACCCTCGCTTTGAGGACGCACCTCGAAGGCGTCCTCCATCACACCAAACCGCCCAACATGTGGTTCGGAAGGCTAAAGACGCTCCTACTCCTGGGCGTCTTGTCGCATAATGTTAATGGTCTCAAATACGACGAAAAGTACGCCGACTACAACCTCAACACAAATAAGGATGCGACAGATCCCATTTTATACGATGGAAAATGGGACAATCACGACTTCACACCGTCGCCAGACAACTGGCGCTTTCCGTTTTACACAATCATGCTCGACAGATTCGTAAATGGTGATCCGGAAAATGACAGCGCCAACGGAACAGTCCTCGAGCAAGATATCACAGGCACACAGCTGAGATGGGGTGGTGATATTGCCGGTCTGGTCGACACACTGGATTACCTGCAAGGAATGGGCATCAAGGGAATCTACTTTGGAGGATCGATGCTGATCAACGCGCCCTGGAACTACGACTCCTACTCCCCGTTGGATCACACCCTGCTGGATTTCCACTTTGGTAACCTCACAGAATGGCAAGCGGCCATCCAGGAGGTCCACAACCGTGGAATGGTGAGTTTTGATGATTCTGGGCAAGTATCTGCATGAACATGCGACTAACTATGCGCGCAAGTACATTGTTTTCGATAATACGATGGCCACTTTGGGAGACTTGATCGGCTACAAGGATCATCTCAACTCGTCGGCGCCCTTCGAGCCTCACGAAATGGAGGTTATCTACAAGACTGATCGCCAATACCTCGACTGGACGTTCCCCACCAAGTACAACGAGACTTGCGAGCATTTCCCCCGTCTCTACCTCGAGGAGGGCAGGGAAGTTCCCCAGGAGATCTACGACATGTTTGGCGGCTGCTACAATGGTGACTTTGATCAGGTTTGTCTCCGACCCGGCTGATTTCAAATATCGCTGAGGAACATCTGTGGCTGACTCTGTGTCCGTGAACAGTTTGGTGACACTGAGGCTTTCGGCGTTTACCCCGATTACCGTCGTCAACTGACCAAATTCGCTTCCGTCCAAGACAGATTGAGAGAATGGGTACCGGCCGTGAACGATAAGCTGGCGCATTTCTCGTGCATTTTGATGCAGCAGCTGGATATCGACGGATTCCGATTCGATAAAGCCCTGCAGGTTACGGTTGACGCTCAGGGTCTCTTCTCCAAGAAGATTCGCGAGTGCGCTCGCGATCTCGGCAAGAAGAACTTCTTCTTGCCAGGTGAGATTACGGGTGGTAACACCATGGGATCCATCTACATTGGTCGCGGAAGAACCCCCCAGCAGTGGTTCAAGGACGTCAACACGGCTTACAACATCACGACCGAGAGTTCCAAGAACATGGACATCTTCCTGCGTGACGAGGGCCACCAGGCTCTGGACTCTGCCGCATTCCACTACTCCTTCTACCGTTTCTTGGTTATTTTCCTAGGTATGGACGGTACTGGTGTCGCCGGCTACGATGTGCCCAGTAATTTCGTCGAGGCGTGGAACGAAGTTCTCAGGTCCAACGACTTGATCAACGCGAACACCGGCAAGGTCGACCCCCGCCACATGTTCGGTGCCATGAACCAGGATACCTTCCGGTGGCCCGCCATCGAAGTCGGCCACGAGCGCAGTCTCATGGGACTTTTCGTCACGACTCTTCACCTGCCCGGTATTCCCATGCTTACGTGGGGCGAGGAGCAGGCGTACTACGTCCTCGACAACACTGCGCAGAATTACATGTTCGGTCGTCAACCCATGGCCTCTGCCCCCGCCTGGCAACAGCACGGTTGCTACTCAATGAAGGCAACCCTGTACTTCCAAATGCCTCTGTCAAAGGCCCGCGAGGGATGCCGCGATGACACTGTCTCTTGGGACCATCGCGACCCCAGTCACCCCATCAGAAACATTCTGAAGCACATGTACCACTTGAGAAACGTCTACCCCGTTCTCCAGGACGGCATGTGGCTCGAGCAGCTTTCCAACAAGACCGAGGAGCTCTACTACCCTGGTAACTCTGGAATGGCCACAGTCACTGGTCTTTTCAGTGTTATGCGCTACCAACTTGGTGTTCAGAATCTCGGGGATAACGTCGTCCCCATTTGGTTCATCTACCACAACAGAAACGTCACCACCACGTACACGTTCGACTGCTCCAAGGAGGGTGACGCCATTGTCTCCCCCTTCACCTCTGGAACAACGGTCAAGAACCTGTTCTTCCCTCACCAGACGGCGAAGCTTGAGGACTCGCCCGTGAAGCTTTCCTACGCCGGCAACACCGGCTTCAACGGCTGCTTCAAGAACATCACCATGGCTCCTTTCGAGTTCCGCGCCTACGTTCCCGAGGCCGACTTCAAGGTTCCCCCCATCGCCATCACCAAGTTCGTCCCCGGCCACGACGCCCGCATCGAGTCCACCGAGCCCTCAAACACCGTGCCTATTGAGCTTCAATTCTCGGTCAAGATGGACTGCAACAGCTTGAAGGACACCATCAGTTTCAAGTCCCACACCGACGACAACAGCGTCCCCACCATTGACGAGAGCTCCATTAAGTGCAATGACATCTCCGAGACGATTTCCGAGTGGACGGGCGCCCTCGCCTCATCCTTCTCGTGGAAGGCTAACCTGCTGAACGTGAAGCACGGCGTCCACCAGGTGATTGTCACCAACGCCTCGGCTGCCACCGGCAACTCGACCATCGCAGCCACCGACCGCTTCCTCTTCCGCATCGGCGCTCAGGACAACGCCATCGTCTTCCCCCACACTGCCAACTACTCTACCAACCTTCTGTCCAAGGCCGATGACGGCACAATCACGATCAAGCACACCTCTGCCGGAGCCAGCAAGTTCCGCTACTCCACCAACTTTGAGTCGTCTTGGAGTGACTGGACCAACTACGAGGCATCGACCAAGGTCGTCAAGCAGTCCTGGAACGGTACCAAGGACCAGGAATGGAAGGGCGAGCACGTTATTGTCCAGTACTACAGCAAGCTCCTCGGCTCCAGCGCGTACAAGGTGCACGGCGACATCGACTACGACATTCCCCGTCGCATCCCGCACATGTTCGCCGTGGGCAAGTTCAACCAGTTCGGCTACGACAGCGGTCTCCTCAAGACCATGAAGCACCAGAGCGCGTCGGAGTGGACGTGGCATTACATGGACGAGTGGCCAAACTACTTCAAGATGAGCATCTGGGGCATGAACCCAGACAAGATGCCTGACCAATCTTTCGTCTACGGTGACGTCGACGGCGACAATGTTGTTGAGCGTCTCCCTCCTTCGTCATTGTACGAGAACGCCGTCAATATCACCGGCCACCCCCCCAAGCCTTACGTCGCCTACAAGGTCGTCCTGAACGATGCCACCTTCCAGTATCAGCTCATCCCTCAGGGCAACATGTGGATCCAGTTCTTACTCTGGCTGCTTCTCTTCATCATCCCCCTCCTCACCGGCCTCGCCGCCGTCCAGGCCTTCAAGCGCTCCTTCTACAAGGTCAAGTTCAACGAGCACGGCGTCCACGACAAGTCCAAGTTCAACATGATGGTCCAGAAGACCCGCAACGTCTTCATGGGTGCCGCCGGTGCCATCCCCCTCAGCATGCGCAGCTCCACCGACCTTGTCTCCGCCGCCGCCGCCGCCACCGCCGGCAATAAGCGCAAGAGGGTGCTGATCGCGACCATGGAGTACAACATTGACGACTGGAACCTCAAGATCAAGATTGGTGGTTTGGGTGTCATGGCCCAGCTAATGGGTAAGGCGCTCAAGCACCAGGACCTCGTGTGGGTTGTGCCCTGCGTCGGCGACATTGAGTACCCCATCGATCAGCCCGCGCCGAGCATGTACGTCAAGATTATGGACCAGGAGTACGAGATCAAGGTGCAGTATCACGTTGTGGACAACATCACCTATGTTCTGCTCGACGCGCCCGTGTTCAGGAAGCAGACCAAGTCTGAGCCCTACCCCCCGCGCATGGACGACTTGGAGTCTGCTATTTACTACTCTGCTTGGTAAGTTTTATCATGGGATCTCATTGACTACCTTGGATGACCTGTCTGCTAACCAGCCTTGAAGGAACCAATGTATTGCCGACACTTGCAACCGTTTCCCCATCGACATGTATCACATTAACGATTACCACGGCTCCATCGCACCTCTGTACTTGTTGCCCAAGACCATCCCCGTCGCGCTTTCTCTTCACAACGCCGAATTCCAGGGTCTCTGGCCCATGCGTACTCCCGAGGAGAGCGCGGAAGTGTGCAAGGCTTACAACTTGGATCTCGAAATTGTCAAGAAATACGTTCAATACGGTTCAGGTAAGACATTCTCCCTCCCAGTAGATTGACCCCCAATCTCTGACATATTTCTAGTCTTCAATCTTCTCCACGCCGGTGCCAGTTACCTCCGTGTCCACCAGAACGGATTCGGTGCCGTTGGTGTCTCCCGCAAGTATGGTGATCGCTCGTTCGCGCGTTACCCTATTTTCTGGGGTCTCTCCAAGGTCGGCCAACTGCCTAACCCTGATCCCACCGATACCGCCGACTGGGACAAGAACGATTTTATGAACCAGCCCAAGATCGAGGTCGACCCCACCTACGAAGCTGGCCGTGGCGACTTGAGAAGACAGGCCCAGGAGTGGGCCGGACTCAACGTCGATCCCGAAGCCGAGCTGTTTGTCTTTGTCGGACGTTGGTCTCTGCAGAAGGGTGTCGATCTCATCGCCGATATCTTCCCCTGGGTCCTCGACAACTACCCCAAGGCTCAGCTCATCACCATCGGCCCCATGATTGATCTCTACGGTCGCTTCGCGGCTCTCAAGCTCGCCAAGCTTATGGAACTCTACCCCGGACGCGTCTTCTCCAAGCCCGAATTCACCGCTCTCCCGCCTTACATCTTCAGCGGTGCCGAGTTTGCCCTGATTCCCTCCCGAGACGAGCCATTTGGCTTGGTCGCTGTTGAGTTTGGCAGAAAGGGAGCCCTGGGTGTTGGTGCCCGCGTCGGTGGTCTCGGTCAAATGCCCGGTTGGTGGTACACGGTCGAGTCGACCAAGGCCGCCCATCTGACCAAGCAGTTTAAGCACGCTATCAAGGACGCCCTCGACACGGACACCAAGACCAGAGCCATGATGCGTGCCTGGTCCGCCAAGCAGCGTTTCCCCGTCGCCGAGTGGCTCGAGAAGCTCGAGAAGCTCCAGCAGGGCGTCATCAGCGCGCACGCAAAGTACGGCAAAAAGGGTCTCAAGAAGGGCAACGTTCTCGTCAAGAAGACCCGCCGCCCAGGCTCCATCGCAGAGCCTCTCCGCGGCGAAGTCGAGCTTGTGGACCGCTCCCCCGCGTGGATGCGCCAGGTATCCGACTACGACGACGACGGCACTACCCTTCAAACCGGCCGCACTACCCCCGCCGGCATGCAGACTCCCATGATGTACACCAGCACCCCCGGATCCCCCTCCATGTCGCCGTCTCCCGCCTACGTTGACTCACCGTACGGCTCCCGCGCCGGCTCTCCTGGACCGTTCGGCCGCGAACAACATGGTCGCAACATTTCCGACACACACAGCCGCAACTTCTCTGATACCCACAGCCGTAACTTCTCCCTTCCCGGACAGCCAGGCCAGGACCAGGCACACAGCCGCACCGTCTCTGGCTTCTCCATGGCCGACACTCTGCCTCTCCCGCCACCGGTTGGAGGCCTGGGCATGCAGCAAGACAATTCTTCTAGAGCCTCCATGCTTAGTGTCGAAGATGTTGTGGGTGACAGACACGATTACAAGCTCCAGCAGGTCGATCCCTTCTTCACTGACTCCAACGGTGAATTCTACGAGCACTTTGAGGAGAAGCTCAAGGCTCTCAACGCCGGCAACTCCATCTCAGAGCTCTGTATTGAGGACTACCTCATCAAGAGTGAAAAGGAGTGGTTCGACATGTACCTCGACGCCAGGCTGGGTCGCTCCGCTTCCCCGTCATCGGCCAGAGGACAGTCCAGATCGAGAAACTCTTCGCCCAACGCCTCGAGATTGAGCCTGGGCATGTTCAAGAACAAGTCCTCTTCCAAGTTGAACTTGCCTCTCGAGCGCGGTCGCGCCAGACGCTCCGGATTGATGAACAGCATGGCCGCCGACGACGCGACCGGTGCCTACGACAACAGGACACCCCCCGACTCTCCCGGCTCGTACAACGCACAGTTCGACCTCCCCCAGGATTACGTCGCGCCCACCGGCATCAGAAAGTGGCTCCAGTACCGCGTCGGCGATTGGCCGGTCTACGCCATGCTCTTGGCCCTCAACCAGGTCATCGCCACCAACTCCTACCAGGTGACCCTGCTCACCGGTGAAGTTGGCCAGACCGCCGACAAGCTTTACATCGTCGCCTCCATCTACCTCGCCTCGTCCGTCTTCTGGTATATCCTGTCGCGCACCATGCCTCTCCTCTACCCGCTCTCGGCACCGTACGCCCTCTACGGCATCGCCTTCCTCCTCCTCGGCTGCTCCCCCTTCGCCGGCGACAACAACACCATGGTCTGGCTCCAGAACGCCGCCACCGGCGTCTACGCCTTTGCCTCCTCCTCCGGGTCCCTCGCCTTCGCCTTCAACTTTGGTACCGACGGCGGTTCCACCGTCCCCAAGTGGATCCAGCGCCTCGCCATCATCCAAGGCCTCACCCAGCTCTACACCCTCGCCCTCTGGGCCTGGGGCAGCTTGGCCTCCGATGCCGAGGCCAACAGCGTCGCCAAGCCCACGCTCGCCGGAAAGCCCGCCCTCCTGGCCGTCTGCCTCCCCGTGGCCATCCTCCTCTGGGCCATCGGCGCCACCCTCTTCCTCGGCCTGCCCGACTTTTACCGCCAGACCCCCGGCCCCATCCCCCAGCTCTGGAAGACGCTCATGAAGCGCAAGACCATTGCCTGGTACCTCATGGCCGTCTGCATCCAAAACTACTTCCTCAGCACCCTCTTCGGACGCAACTGGTTATTCCTCTTCTCGTCCCAGCACGTACCCGTCTGGAGCATGGTCATCCTCGCCCTCTTCTTCTTCATCTTCATCTGGGCCCTGGTCCTCTGGGGCCTGGCCAAGGCCAGCGAGAGTCACCCTTGGTTGTTCCCTATGTTCGCCGTCGGTCTCGGCGCCCCGCGCTGGGCCCAGATCTGGTGGGGTACTTCCCGCATCGGTCTCTGGATGCCGTGGGCCGGAAGCGCCGTCGCCGGTGCCGTCCTCAGCCGTGTTCTCTGGCTGTGGCTCGGCGTCCTCGACGGTCTCCAGGGCGCGGGTATTGGTATGATTCTCATGCTGACGCTTACCCGTGTCCATGTTGCCGCAGCCTGTGTCGCCGCTCAGGTTCTGGGTTCCATCTTTACTATACTTGCCCGCGCTACTGCGCCTAACAGCGTCGGTCCGGGTCCTGTTTTCCCTGATATCAGCGAAGGATTAGGCGTTGCCTTTGCCAACGCCTGGTTCTGGGTTGTCCTTTTCCTCAACCTGTTTATCTGCATTGGTTACTTCAAGTTCTTCAGAAAGGAGCAAGTTAGCAAGCCTTAAAAAAAAGGCTATGAAATGTTTAGGTTAGATAAGGATAGAATTTTCGTTCATTTTTTTCTTGAGTAGACATGAACCTCAGTAATGACCAAACTACCATGTTAATGGAGTTAATGACTTGTTATCCTACACCCACGTGCACCTCTCTATCCTGTGATCCCATTCGTGACAAGCCCCCCCTGTTCATTGCTAATCTATATTGGAGCAGGCGGCCCAAAAAACATCCGTTCCCGAAAACTGCAAGCTCCTCGCCAAACAGGGAGGTCTTGATTCGATTGCTGGGCTCGTACGTGTAGAATTGTGACTCTCGCGTGATTGCCGATCATCCGTCACTTCAATGACTCTCTCACATAGGGCAATTTATGTTACAAGCCCAAGCTGGAGAATTGCAGGCAATCCAATCTCGTCCTGAGTCACGGCTAACCCGCTGCAGTGCATCGCGTAATTTAAACCCGCCCAAATGATCAATGTTCTGGAAATCGCACTGGCTCGTTCCTACTTGCATTGATGTTGTCGAAGAAGATATATCAGTTCGGATTCGGTCTCTTCCTCAACACAGTTTGGCCTTGAAGCCAATGCTGGCAACCCTATTCTATGCTTATTTTCACCACCAAAGGTTAAAAAAAATGAAGTTGTCCATCCTCGCTACGATTGCGGCAGTGGCCATTACATCAACAGAAGCATGTGCCAAGTACACGAATTGCTGGTATGAACCATCATCCTACATGGTAGCCAGCGTCACGCACTGACCTAACCCTACCCAAGGTGCGTCAGAAACAACTTCATGTACAACGGCGCGCTGTCATCCAACATCCCCTGGGATGCCTACACCTCCCAAGCTTGCAGTGGCACTGGACAGGACGGATACTATGGGCCGAACTACCAGGAGTGTTATCGATACAAGAAGAGCCCCCTTGCATTCATTCCGTCTAAAGCCATCAACAACTGCGATTGGACCGAGGTTAGTTTGAAATGATGCATTCGACGATCCCCAAGAGGTAGCCCATTGACCAATGCCATAGAAATGCCAAGCGGCTGCTGCCTTGCTTGGTGGTACCGCGTCCGGATGGTGCAGAAACAAACTTTAGATACCCTACTCATCAAGATAATTATAGAAAATGTAATGTTCACCTGAACATGGCTTACTCAACATGACACTGCACTATCCCCGAGCTACAACTCGGCGTATCGTTTGGAGATGGCCCAAGTCGGGGAGAACGCGCGACTTGCATGATCTCTCTCTCAAAGACTATCACCGCAATGTATCCTACACAGTCTGTGTATATGGCAGATCCCCCGAGGCTTGAACCACCTACGCTGTCAAGCAGCGGCCGGATGTACGCCGGTACATTCGCCTCGGCACCCGACGTTTCCTAACAGCGGGTACAAAACCCAGAGCGACGCTTTTGTTGCTAAAGAAACCTGAAAGAATGTCCTGACTTTCAATCGTTCGAGCGCGTCGCGACGGAATTTTGATTCCGGGAATAGCTTCAAGTCCTGGCCGGTGCGGACGCTGCCAGCAAAGGTAGTGAATTTGGATAACAAAGAAGGTTGACTTTGACCTCCGGCCTCCAGGAGGCTCGTCAACGTTTGCAGGGGGCTCATGTGCGGGCTTGAACTCTGACAATTCTAGCCCCAATTCGATCGGAACCTTATCCGCGTCCTCTGTTAAAAATGTAAGCGGGCCCTCTATGCGGGCAGAATCACATACCCCCCGCCCCCTCCTCCCCCGCATGCCATCATCACTCGAGCTTGATCGACTTGCAAATGTAACCATAAGCTGACGTCCCCCATCCCATCTCCGGCCGTTTCAACCACCTCCTCGGGCCGGCATGCGACGAATCGGTTCCCAGCCCATACGTACCTGGAGAAATCCCGGGACTCAACCGGCGAATGGGGTCAGGGTCTTGGAGCTGAATTGGGCAGAGTTGTTGGATGATGGTGTGCTGACCCCGGGACTGAGGGGTTCGCTTTAGGCATGTTTTGTCGACGGTGCCTCGGTCTTTTGAAATACTCCTCAGCCGGTCGATTGCGCTGTATCTAGGTGCTTGTGGTCAGAAGGTTCATCAGCTTCACATCTATATAAGCAAACTGAAAAGACCACCAGCTGAGATTGGCGTCCTTTCCGACATCTTCACCTCAATCACATCACAGTACAGCATTCGCCAAACTCCAGTCCCAATCGTCTAATCTACACCCCGAAATCCAAAAAAATGTCCTCTCAGCAATCGTCATACAAACCCCTCCCGCCCCCTCGGCGCATCATAACGACCCACAACGCGGCAGGCCAAGCAATCCTCTCCACCTCCCTAGCCCCCGAAGTCCCCAAAGCCTCCGCGCCCGGCATAGACCTCTACCTAGCTTACTCGTCCCCCTCCCTCCCCGCCCCGCTGCCCCAAGACGCCGATCTCGCCGCCTACGAGACCCACCTCCCCAACAACATCGGCATCGCCCTCCCCGGCGGCCTCGCCGCCCGCATCGTCGATATCCTGCCGGGCGGGCCCGACGTCCCGCTCCACCGGACCGAGAGCCTGGACACGGGCGTCCTGATTGAAGGGGAGCTGGAGCTGGTGCTGGACAGCGGAGAGAAGACGGTCCTCAAGAGGGGGGACGTGTACGTGCAGAGGGGCACCATGCACGGGTGGAGGAACTGTAGCGAGACGGAGACGGCGAGATTCTTTGTGATGCTTGCTGCGGCGGAGATGCCCGTGTTTGAGGGGCAGAGGCTGGGCGAGGTGATGCCTGTTCCCGACTCGGGGGCCGAGTAGGTGCTTTGGGAGGTGCTATCGCGCAGTTCGATAATTTGGCAAAGAGACTGTTGGTGCATCAGGGTGAACCGCCGACCCGAAGGAATAATTCATGAAATGAAATGCGCGGGCTACGCCTTTGTCTACTTTACTAGGCATGTTTATTGTCCTTGAATTCCCTGGAGTCTTTGACATCTCTTCGTATCTATCTATATTTGGACTCACCAGAGCACAGGAAGGTGGCCACGTCATGAAAGTCAATACGCAGAGGCCGCCAACATTGAAGCCTTGCTTTCTCAACTAGCCATCCGTCTGTGAGCTTCATCCAGCAACTCGCGTCTCGTCTCCTAGTCAAGCGCGTCGTACTGGACGTCCGCCGGCCTGGCCCTGTCCGCAATCTTCTTCTCAAGCTCCTCTACATGTGCATCGATCTTTGAAAACTGCCACGGCCAGTTGACGACGTACAAGAACGGACGAAGGTCGTGACGGTTGTCGTCAGGGTTGTACGCCGAGAGATGCGGCGAGGGCGTGAGGATGACGGCCTTGTGGCGGTTCATTGAGTAGAAGCGGAAGAACCTCTTGACGCGCTCGCCAATCTCGCGCGGCCCGTAGCCTGGTCGCTCCTTCCAGTCCCCGAGCAATCGGAGGTACGTAGACCACGGACCGAGCTTGTGCACCTTTCTCAGGATGCCAAACTCTGAGAGCTCGCTGCAGAAATGGTCAGTGCCAACGCCGTAGTTGAGAGTGTCTTGAAGGCTCACCTGTAGGTCAGACCCATTTCAGTATCCGCCTCATCATCCTGAACTCCGGCAGAGAGCGGGAGAAGCTCTGCCGAGGGCGTAGCCTCGAGAAACTCGGACATAATGGGCAAGTCCCACTGATCCTTGGCCCAAGCTTGGAAGTTTTTGGCATCCGTCTTTGAGATACTTCCTAGCGGAGCGATATCCGCCGACGATGCGTCGCTGCAAACGGTAAGCAATCTATGATTGTTCGCACATGCTTGGGCCCATTACTCACTATTTGGTGTAGTAGCCACGGAGATTCTCATCCACATTGCCACTGCCCAAGACCAAAAGTGCTGCCCCGGCCCTTGGGAGTTGTCTTGCAGTTGTTGATAGCTGCGCCAGCTCGTACTGGACAACGAGCCGGTTTCTTGCTTGTATGTTTTGACGCGCAAGCTAAATCCACCATGTTAGAATCCAATGCACTTTCACCTCTATTATCCAGGATAAATGGGCCACACTCACGTTCTCGGCAGGACTACCGCCTTCGATTCCATACCGGGGCTTGAAGTTCAGTGTTTTTTCAATGATAGCCTCATGAGCGACAACCGCTTCATCGATTGAGATGTCAGAGTGGTAAGCCCCGAGAACCTCTGCAAGACGACGGGCTCTGGTCCGCGTATCATCTCCAGAGTTGACAGTTCCCATGTAGCATGAGTGCAGCAAGCGCGAGACAATTTCTTGCGGTGTCTCGGGCATAAACGTCTTGTCACCAGTAACGCGTCTCAGGTCATCCAGCGTTGACATCTCTCCAGCATCAATGGATTGGAGCACAAGCTTTGCCATGCTGTAGACAAACAGTGCGACCGTCGAGGAGTCTAGACCTCCACTCAAGGCGAGGAAATAGCCAGGAGAGTTGGTGCGGCAAAGGTACTGCCAAAGGAAGACCGCTTGAGCCAGGGCAATTTCTTCCATTGGGTCGAGGATCTTAAGCTCGATCTCCTTCGCGATTTGAAGATGATCTGATAAGTACACTTCGTCGGCGGGCCGTGTAAGTCGCAAGTCGCAGTCGACCCTAGGGAAGTCGGGCTGAGCAGCAGCCTGGACGTTTCGCGAGATGCTGGAACGGTAGCTCCTGACTTCTTCCACAGAAATGGTGGCAGTTATGACTTCGACTGGCTTCAGAGAGAACTGAGAGGATTGCGCGAGGACCTTTCCATTGGCTAGCACCATGCTTGATCCATCAAACTGTGCTTCAAATTAGTTGCTGGGAAGCTTTCGCCGTAGCTTTGTAGCCACCAAGTCAAGACTTACCAGCATACGCGCCTCGCCATCAACACCAGTCGCGTTAGCATACACATAGATACCGCCCAATTTCCGAGTCGAGTTTGAGATGAGATCGAGCCGGGTTTTTAGCTTTCGTAGCTCAGCGTGGCTGGCGCTGCTGTTGAGGATAATTTCGGCGCCGTTGAGGCCGAGGAACGTCGAGGGGTTCAGGGGCGAGAACATCTCTTCGCAAGTCTCACAGCTCACGGCGGTGTCAAGCGTGCTGAGAATCAAGTCACCAATGGGCACTGTCTTCTGGCCGGTGACCTGAGCGGCCACGGCCTCCAAGTAGTAGGTCTCGGCCTCTCTGAGCTTCGTCCATGCCGTGAAGTGCCGTGCCTCACGGTAGAGGCCATCGTTGGCCAGACTTTGCTTGTAGATGTGAGTTCAAGAGGTCCTAGTAGGGGCCAAGGAACTCGTACCTTTGGCCTGATGAGGTAGATGTGCTTGTAGGTGCAGAGGACGCGACAGTTGTAACGAACGTTGCGATGGCGGCATCCCATACCCAGGTCAATCAGCATATCCTTGCAGACGGGATCGCTGATAATCTCAGTGAGCACCTCCCAGCTGTGGAGGAAGGTATCTCCTAACGGGGTGTCAGCTCAACCTTTTCCCACGAACCCTCTGAAGTCCCGCCAAGAATCCGGAGCAAGTACCTTCAAGGTGATGATCAAGACAGCCATAGCCGGGAATCTCCAACTCTGGACCGGTTCTGAGAGTTGCGCCCTGGGCCTTGGCAATGCGAATGCTCTCTAGAATCCTGTCGCGGTTGCCCTTGAAGTCTAGGGGGACACTGGGCAAAGTCGCCGCCGCGACAGTGACGAATGACATGGCGACGAGAGCCGGCCGGGGCGGTCCGATATGAGATGGCGACCGCAGGTGGGATCCAGAGACGGAGCCAGGAAAAGTGCGATTGGGTCGTTGTGACGGCGGTGGCAGCCAAGGGAGAGAGTGATTGGTTGGCGCGAGCGGCGTTCGGGGACAGAGTTCAAGTCAATCAAGCAGACGCCCGGGGCGGGGTTCCGTGGGAGGAGCTGAACACGGCACGAACGGACTGCTGACTCAGTGAGATGGAGGGGTATAGGATCGGAATGACGACAAGTCACAGATGACAAAGATGGAACTATGGGAGTACCTTAGCGGGGTCGGAGGGTTTCTGATAAGATAAGATACTGTATCAGTCGAAGCACAGACACAGCTGGCCTTCTTCCATGTCCCAGAGCTCCAGCACCTTTGCATCTTCCAGTCCAAGGTACGAGTACCTGGCACCTGCCCCTGCCATCCACCCGTCTGACCATGTACCATTACGCTTCGTGACTCCGAGCTTGAGCTTCGAGCATAACACTCCCTGGTGTTCATGCCTCATCTCCAACCATCCTTCCCCTTTGCAACTACGCTATTCCTGTGGTTGGTCGTCCGGGACTGTTGACTCGTCGCTTGGCGAGGTGGTTTTTTCGAAGGGGCTCTCTGAGCAGCCTGCCATATTGTCGGTTTCCGAAGGGGTCGGCATGCTGTCTAACTCTAAATACAAAGGCTGGGGACCATCAAGCTGATCTTTCTTCGACCTGCTACACACTTGTTAGTGATCTTGCTGCACAATGGAGAGACTGTATACGTACAACCATTCATCCTACTAATAACTGCCCTTTCAAACGCCGTCCGAATCTTCTTCAAACGGGGGACCGCCGAGAGGACGACTGAGGAAATCACTGCAAGGCAGATCGGGGCACCGGGGCTGACGACTTAGGTAGGTGGGAGGTGCAGCTGGCCGGGGTATCCGTAATTGGAATTGTGGGTTGTGGCATTGCTAGTGCATTGCGTTCATGCTCGCTTCATGTTCGGAAATCGATGTCATCGGGACGGCGGTGGTCCAACTGAATAATCAATGGAGGGGTGCGCCCATACTCACAACGGTCATTCTTGGACGAGTTAATCAGCGAATGCAATACGGTCATCTGGCGCTCTTCACATTGACGATGCAACTGAATCCATTTCTCAGAGACTGAAGGTGACAGAAATGATGTGGAATTGGACGTGGACGTGCGAGACGAGACGAATTGAGACGCTAAGCTGGCGTGGGAATGTGGGACCGTGACGACATGCTGCTACTGTTGCGTCGCCTAGCTGCGTTTGATATACGGGGCAATGTGTTTGCAACTCTCGTAGAGTTAGGAATAGGAATACACAGAGCAGGTCATAGTGGGATGCTCTAGAGAGGTGAGTAAATACGGTAGACCGGTGATAGACGTGAGCTGGAAACCAAACAAGAACACTGAATCAATAAAAGCATCGCGCGATCCGTGGATGGAAGAAATGGTTCAAGATGTTCGTGGAAATAGAGGATCTGTCGGGATCCGCGTGGCTTATATTGAAGGTGGGATCATCGAGCGGGGGCCCACGAGGAGGGTGGTGTGAGCTGTGTCACGACTCACAGCGAGGGATGGTCAAACTCTGGCGATTGAGGGCAGGCCATCGACTCGTTGCTAGCAACGGCCCCGTCAAAGCATATTCACGGGACCAGCAAATCACCTCACTCATAATGCATGCCGTCTGTCATCGCCCTTTGGCAGAGTGTGTCACCATACCTATTGCAATTTCCCTGCGCACCCTGCCCACTGTCTAGCAAACCATTCCCCAGCTCTTGAGATTCTCTGGTTGCTGTCTTACTGTCGGCAGGTTGGGGGTTGGTGAATCAGGTGAGGGATGGGCTGTTTTGTGGTTCCACCAAACACGACTGAACGGCGACCCCACAGCGGGAAACCGGTTCGCTTATGTTGGCTCGTTTTCGCGGCGACGGGTCGGAGCAGCTGTACAAACGCCGAGCTGCGTTTCCCTGTTGAGTTCGTTCCAGTTCCTGCTCCTGTCCCTGGTCTTGTGCCTGCTTCCAAGGCTCCAGATCCTGCGTAGAACCTGCCTGGCGAGAAAGAAACATCAATATGATCTCGGGATGCTCCCTCCCACACACACTTGCTGCCACACCATCGCACTTCCTCTCGCTCGCTGATGGCATCCATCTTCATCCCGCCAGTGCATGCACCTTGGGTATGAGACGGGAGGAGTGGGCCCGACCGTCGCCGGACCGTCAGACTGCAGCTTGAAGCTCTCCTCTTCTATGGCCCTTTCCCCAGACTTTTACCCCAGACTTTTGACTTCGGAGACCGCACTAAAGCCGATCCGTCACGCAGTCCTCTCGAGTGGCTCAACCTTGGCCGCGCCATGCCCGTTTCGGACAATCAGCCAACCAGACCAGTCGGACCATCTCTGGTGCTTCACACAGTGGCCAGGTGCGGTACCGGCAAGAGCAAGTGGAGGCATTGGAAGGAAGGCCAAGGCAAGGCAAGAGCATATGAGATGTACTTTCAGCACATTCCAGTGTATGAAGACCTCCTATGAAGAAGGTATCTTGGGTACTTAGGTACGTTAGCGTGGGCAGGTAGCAGAGAAAAGGGAGAAGGAAGCTCCTGTGGGTTGTGGTTCTCTCTTTCCCTGGTCTGGTTTCTGGCCCCTGGTCCCTGGTCCCTGCGCTGCACTTGCTCCCAGCCCGGACCACCCGTCACCTGCCGCCCGTTCCTCGCCGTCTCCCCCCCTTGCGCGCATCTCATGAGCTTCCATGTCACGCGATCGTCTGGCGACGCCATTGATGGGCAGTTACCCCGCCCGGTCTGACGAAACCGTAATGCATCGACAATGGACTCCAGTCCACGGCCGATTCAGGGAGCTTCTCTGCTGGCAGCTGCTATGCTCTCCGCTACGTCTGGTCAGGTCCTGTTCGGGGTCGCTTCAGCTCTGGTTCGACTCGACCGACCACTCTCAAGGCCCCAAGCACCACTTCGTCTACCTACTACATGGGAGTACCTGTGAGACCAGTACATCACCAAGTCTCCTCTGGCACTTCACTCTGCGCATAGGAACATGAGATACCTCACCTCGATACTTCACAATCGGCGGACCCTTTCTCCCATCCCCTCTCCTTACCTCAGGCCCGCACACCAGGTCAGGCGCCCGACCGGGTCGACATCCATCTACCTCTCGTCTCCCCCCCGCCTCCGCTTCCCTTCTTAATCCCCTCCTCATCCCACTTCTCCTCCAACCATTCATCTCACAACCACACATCACCTGTTCAACAAAGGTAGCTACCCCTCTGCCCCTTTCCTCCCCAATCGCCATCCGTTGAGAAGCACGAGAGCTCCTATTCCCGGATCTCGGAGCTTGCAGCTTAAAGCTTGTAGCTTGTAGCTTGGAGCTGGAGCTTGAATTGGTGTCAATAAAGCTCCCGCGGCTGACACGGCCCTCAGACTACAACAACCAATTCGATCATATTTGATCAAACACTTCACAATAATTCGAAATCATGACGGAACCGCTCTCCAAGGTCGACTCAGCTGTGGGAGGTCTCTCTCAATCACCGCCAAAGGAGTCCAAGACTCGCCGGCAATCGTCCGCCGCTGCACCTGGTGTGTACAACATCAAGGACCTTGGTACGTCACTGCTTCAACCCCGCACCTGACTTGACCCTTGACTCGGCTGTTTCGGGACATGACTAACAGTCCAACAGAAGAACAAAAGATTGAGCTTGAGCTCGCACCGGAAACACAACGGACAGGATGGTAAGTTGGTTGCCCCTTCAACTGAATCTGCATCGGCAGCTTTACCTTAGCGTTGAATTCGGTGGTGGATGCTATTGGCACAAATGAATTACATGCAGACTGACCCCAATTAGGAAGATCAACACTTCATCATCGCAAGTCGAGGACAAGGAAATCCTCAAGCTCCACCTGTCAAAGCCTCCAGTCAAGAAGATTGACCTGCATTTCCCTCTCGGCATGGAGGTAACAGCACGCAACCTCAAGGGAGTAACAATAAAGGATGCCTTGGACGCCATCCACAAGGCATACAAGAAGAGAGTAAGCACATTGTGACCAAGCCGTATGCCACGACCATTGCTAACAAGGGTGCTCAGTCCGATGATGAGCTCGACAACCCGTATCTGGCAGGCTTTGAATGGGACAAGGAAGAGTCCTGGACACGTCTGGTGGTCCACCTCCAGAAGAATCCCGCAGTAGAAAAGCTCGGTGGTGGCGGTGGCGGCAAGAAGAAGAAGAACAAGAAGCAAGAGGGTGAGGAGTAACTTCCCTGACTCTGTTTCCGTATCTGGTCCAATACTTCCTGGTAAAACTGCTTGCTTCGCTGTAGCTCAATAGGCGACTTGGCGCAATGGGATATTGCGATAGATATCGTCGGATGGATGTCAATCAGTTCGGATGTCTGCTCTGGAGCTTGATGCTTCGAGATGTACAGTTAGGAGGATAATGGAGTTGACGCTCGGTGGAGCGGGGTGTCTGCGGCGGTGAAAGTCTCGGTACCCGGCTCAATTGACTCGTTGACCTTCCACACGTCTCTCATCCAATTCAATTCGTGAATACGAAGCGAGAAAAATGCACACTACTTTCGTTGCTGACCTAAGACCGTGGATATCATCCTCAGGAGTGTTTAGTTCGTCGGAGTGGATATGAGAGAGAGTGTGTGTCTGTGATTGCGGCTTCCATGTCTGCATTGATCGTGACCCACTCTCCGGGGAGCAAGGGTCCTGCACGCCGTAGCGCCCCCTACCGTGGACTCGACATAAAATGTCCGCAAACCCGTGACGACCCTGAGTCCTGCTGTGCAATGTGCAGAAGATCTAGGGTTGAATTACTCTGCTGGCAATGCCTAAGGTACTTACAAGTAGAACAGAGAAGATGATGCTAGGGCACCCTTCAAACAGTCAAAGAGGAACCCCTCACTTTCTCGTTGGCTGCGAATGGCGGGGTAATGTCATATTATACTGAGGTAACAAGCCTCCATGATGATTGAACGGCTTTGTAGCTACTGCTTCAACATTCCAACGCTGTATATTTCGAGGCAACATGAATGCCACCAACCCACTTGATGAACTCCCATCTTCCAGCCAGAGCGCATTTTGTGACCATTGAATCTAAGCAACCGTAGCGAAAGCTCTCGATCGCACCATTGAGCGGAAACGTCGGCCGGGTCTTCTTCTTCCTCCACGAGGCAGCGTACCTACCTGTCTTAACTAAGCTTGTCGGAAATCGGAATTGAGAGGTCCACGGTTCAGACAGAAGCACAGACCCCGGCTAACGTCGGCAGACGCCGCGTCTTGCCGTGCCTTCCCATTGCCGCAGGACGCACGCAACGCGGAATACGATACCGGTCCAGCCAAGCTGCCGGCTTTGGGAGGAATGGCATGGCATTTTACCCAAACGTCATCCAGAAAGATCCGAGGAGAGGGGACAGGCGGCAGTATTATTTGAACGTCTTGCATCCTCTGGAACGTTGCTGTGTTGTAATTTCCCATCTCTATCATCGGCCCCCTCGCGCAAACAACACCTCGGAGCTTGCGAGTTTAGCCATTCATCTACTCCTAAAATCTCGTAGCAATGCCCGTCACAACGTTTGATTTCAAGGAGAAGTACCGCTACCAAGTCGGCTTCGATTCGCACCTCGAGTACGTACGACCCTCGCTCCCGCAGTGCTGTTCTTGATCGTCTACCATATCTACCGTCTTGCCTACTAATGATCCCCCTCCATCCCCCCCATCCCCCCGCAATCCTCCCCCAGACATGCTGACATCTCCACCCCTTCCCCCAGATCCGAAGCCGTCCCCGACTCCCTGCCCGTCGGCCAAAACGCCCCACAAAAGGCCCCCCACGGCCTCTACGCCGAGAAGCTCTCCGGAACCTCCTTCACAGCGCCGCGCCACGAGAGCAAGCAGGCCTGGCTCTACCGCATCCTGCCTTCCTGCGCCCACCACCCTTACGCCCCGACCTCGGCCCCGTCCCCCGAGACCCGCGCCCAACCCTCCAGGCTGCAATACATCCCCAATCAGCTTCGCTGGGATCCCTTCGACCATGATGAGAGCAAGGAATGGGACTTCGTCGCCGGCATGCGCCTCGTCGCCGGCGCCGGCGACCCCACGCTGAAACAAGGCATCGGCATGTACGTCTACGCCGCCGGCCGGAGCATGGACCCAAAAGCAGCCTTCTACTCCGCCGACGGCGACCTACTCATCGTCCCGCAGGAGAGCACCCTGGACATCCGCACAGAGCACGGCTGGCTCCTCGTCCGACCCCTCGAGATCGCCGTCATCCCCCGCGGCATCAAATACCAGGTCCACCTGCCCTCCGGTCCCGCGCGGGGCTACGCACTCGAGCTCTATCAGGGCCACTTTACTCTCCCCGAGCTGGGCCCCATTGGCACAAACGGCCTCGCCAACGCCCGCGACTTCCAGGTGCCCGTCGCCTGCTTCGACGAGGACTTTGGCGCGACGGCCTACGAGGGCGCAAACAGCTACACCGTCACCGTAAAGTTCAACAATGACTACTTCCAGACCACGCAGCCGCACACCCCCTTTGACGTCGTCGCCTGGCACGGAAACTACTACCCCTACAAGTACGACCTCGGCCGTTTCAACACCATTGGCACAATCTCCTACGACCACCCGGACCCCTCCATCTTCACCGTCCTTTCGGCGCCCAGCGGCGTCCCGGGAACCGCCATTGCCGATTTCGTCATCTTCCCCCCGCGCTGGCTCGTCGCCGAGGACACCTTCCGCCCGCCGTACTACCATCGTAACACAATGTCCGAGTTCATGGGCCTCATCACGGGCGGCTACGACGCCAAGCGCGGCGGGAAAGGAGGCTTCGTGCCCGGCGGCGCTAGCCTGCATAATACCATGTCGGGCCACGGGCCGGACGCCGAGAGCGGCGAGGGCGCCAGGAACGCGGAGCTGAAGCCTGCCAAGGTCGGCGAGGGGAGCTGCGCCTTCATGTTTGAGAGCTGTGCCATGGTTGGTGTTACTGAATGGGGCTTGCGGACGTGTAAAAAGGTCCAGCAGGGGTACTCCGAGGAGAGCTGGGGCGGGGTGCCGGTGCATTGGAAGAAGCCTGAGGGTGTTGTTTCCGGAGGACACTTGTTGAAATGAGCAAAACGAGCAAAAGAAAGGGGTCGGGGATGGTGTATTCAAGTCGATATTTGATGAAGTATATGATCAGGAAGGCCTAACGCCTTCATCCCCAGTATGAATAGCTATAAAAGTACCCAGATCTATTGAAACGAAGTCGAAAGTCCTCTGGTCAGAGAGACCGCCTAATACTGCATCTTTTGACACCATCGCTTCCCCGCCGTGCTCTGGTAAAGTATGACCCAAAAAACAGCGCCTAGTGTTGCCGGTACACTAGCATTCTGCAAATCGGCCTCGTGTCCCATGATCGACAACCAGAAAATCCAAAACAGTGCCGCTGGTAATATGAAACAAAGAATAGAGTACATGACGAAGCCCCATACGTTCGGTAGCTCAAACGAAGACAGCCCGTATGCCACCTCGTGGTCCAGATTTCTCGGCTGCCACTCTAGGAATCGTTTGGGTACCCGTGACAAAAGCTCGGCCACGCGCATGCTGTACTCCGGGGCACATTCCTCGTCCAGCTTCCCCGCTGTTGGATTCGTACAGCTGTGCAGCATTCTGATTCGAGAGCAGTCGGGTTTACAGTCGTAGCAGTGGCTGTAGAATATCGGCTGGGATATCGGCGGCATATCGTTGGCCAGTCGTTTGAAATCGTAGTCCTGATCTAACGGTGCTTCGGGTAGCAGGGTGCTCTTTGCGCAGCCGTCGGCGATCGAACAGTAGTTGCCTCTGAAATGTTCGTACTAGATCCGTCGCGAGTTAGTAAGATTGAAGTTGTGACTAGCTTGTGCTTCCAAAGGAGAACTTCAGGAAGCACAGATAGTAGCTTACTCTGTCGAATCCCCAATGATGGAACCGGTGGATAGAAAAATAGGTCTTGAACTTGCTTCGCCGAATGCAGTACTTCATCTGCAAGTCGTCGAAGAAGCTCGAGTCGGTGGTTGTTGCTCGGACTTCGACATGATCATGGGGGAAGGACCCAGGTTTGATGACAACAAAACGACCTTTCACTTTGCTGTCTGAATCCGATTCGTCAGGGTTGGGTCTCTTCTTATCGGGGATCTTTTCCTCGAGGCCATCAGTCAAGAGAGACCTGGGAGTTCTTGAGCCCGTCACATTTCTTTGACGCTCGGGAATAGGGCGTCTACGAGAGTTGCTGGGAGTTGAACCCAAGCCGCGCGGCTGGTCCTGACCTCGGCCGCTGGTGCCGGACGCTGGTCCCCGCAACGGCGAGTTGCTCTCACGATTGGGGTGGTTCATGACCGTATTATTGTCGGAGTCAACGAGGCTATAAGCCGGGTTTGATGAAATTGTCCATTCATCCCTTTTGGGATCGTGTTGGTTTATTGTTTCCGAAACGGCTTGGCTCAAAATCGAAAGATATTCGACAAGAGCCCTGATTTCGACACTAAGCTGGAAAGGTATCCTTTCTCTGTGCTCTCTGGCATCGCACTAGGTTGCGGGTAAGCTCATGCTGAATGTCAAGATATTGATGGGCCTACTCACGTGGACGCATTTCCAGCAGATCCAAGCTTCATCCGGGCTCAACTGGGGTAAAGGTGGCCTCATAGGCCACCAACCCCATGAAGTTTCTGTGAGGTCTTCCCACCCTCATTGAAGCACATCGACGAACGTGGGATTGCGATCGACTTCGATCTGGATACTGCGGTGATCCATAATGCGTTTGGACCTGAGATAGGCTACAGCTTGACTGTAACAAAGGGGAACATCTCCACATATGAGGTAATGGTGGTACACTTCAACGGGCTTTGGCGAGAGCTCGATTTCCTCCCGACAGGCCTTGATCAAGACGAGCAAGGTGTCGATGCTGCCGCTCTTTAGCGCGTTCCTCCATGTAAAATTGCTTGGATAGGATCCGGAATCGAGAAGTTGTTGAAGCCAAGCAGCGTTGCCTTGAAGCGCCACAATATCCGCGGCAGTCTCCCCAAGTTGATTTCTCTCATTGACAGGACATCCGAGGGAGACAAGGTGTCGCGCGATTTCGTCTTCGCCTCTTTTCGCTGCTAGGTGAAGACAGGTGTTGCCATGCTCATCTTTCTGGCTTACATTGGCCCCTTTCTCGAACAGGATGTTCAGAGCATGTAATCTCTCACTCTCGCGAGGAGGTCTGTCCCAAGGCCCAGAGTCACTGAAGACATGGTGAATCGCATAGTTCCCTTTTCTTCCTGAATTTACAGAGACGCCGATGTCTAGACATAGACTGATTTTTTCTCGGGAACAGACCCTGCATGCGTCGAGAAAAGCATCTTCAGTTGTCAAGGCGGAGGTCAAAAGAAGCGGAAAGACCACTCCTAGACCGTCGTGCTTAGCCCAACGGCGAAGCAGACTCTTTGGCTGATCCAGCGGCAGGAGAGACTTATTGTGATCCAAGAGAAGTCTCACTATCTCAGTATGACCACGATCTGCCGCTAGAAGAAGTGCTGAGCGCTCTTGGTGTTCGTCCTGGATCTCCAGCCCTTGTTTTAGTAGGAATTGAACCGCTCCTAACGCACCCGTACTAGCAGCGAGGCTCAAATAGTCGTAGTCTTTGAAACTGACGCCTGATGCGTTGAGAACCTCTATCATATCCATGTCATTCTGGCTTACGGCAAGTGCCAGCGGCGTGATCTCACCCAGCCATTCATAGTGCACAGAACCCAGATTCCTGAGCTTTGATTCTCTATCCGGCAAGGACCAGTGAGAGTTGACAGAAACTCCGGTATTAAGGAGCAATGAAACTATTTCCGAGTGACCATGCCGTGCGGCAGTTGCCAGAGGAGAGTCCGCCCCATGAGACAGAACCTGGAGCGATAGAGATGTTCCCGCTGTTGGCTGAGCAAAAGCCATCGTGATTTCCTGAGCAATGAGCGTGTGTCCCCGCTCGATTGCGTGCGTTAGGGCCCGGGAGGAATGATCCGGATGTGTAGCGTAGTCAATATGTTGCTGGAGGAGAAGCTGAACCACAGACTCATGCCCACTCCACGATGCGGCCATCAGCGGCGTCCATTCCTCTCCCTTAGGGGTACACTCATCGGCCTTCATGTAATTTCGTCGAAGAAGATTCGCGATCTCGGTTTCCTTGCCAAGGAAAGAAAGCACGATACCTTCTGTTGGATATTTGGGAAACCTGATTAGTTCCCATGATTCCGTCGATTGATTCTCCCACCAAGGCCAAAACCACGTTTGTAGTAGCAGGGATCTTGGACTGCAGAAACTGTGAACAATTTCGTCTGCATACTTTTGAGATTGACCTGAAGCTTTGTCATGGTAGTTCCATTGTGTTGCTGCATAAGAATAGAAAGGGAATGCAACTTCAGTGTCAAGCATTGTGGCGTGTGAAGGACCCCCGTTTGATGAAATGCCTGGCTGATCCGAAGCCATCAAGTATGCCAGACATATCGATTTGATGCGGGTTTCAACATCAATATCGCTCCTGCAAGAAATTCGCGGGAGAAAGGCTTTGCCAGCAGCGACGTCGGTGGAAGGTGACAAGAAGTCCCTGACGGATCGATGAACGAGATGAACCGTAGAGCCTTTGATTTCGATGAGAGGCACTTGGGAGAAGCGAATTGTGGCAGACCTGCGGCTGAATTTGTAGCCAAGATCTAGGAAGCTGTGTGGGTAGATTGAGGTTGGGCTTCCATGCTGATAGCTGTTCTTGGTTTCGAAAGCAATAGCGGCAGCGAGCTCCTCAACTCGCAAAGGCCTCCGAGCAAAGATGACCCAATCCAAACATTTCAGGATGTATGACTTCTCTTCAGACTTCTTCTTGTTGATAGAAGACAGAATCGACGAGTACATGTCGTTCAAATTGGTCGGAAGGTTTGCCAGGCTGTTCAACAGATTCTCGCTGGTTCGCGTTTCCAGGAACTGCAGTGACTTCAGGGCAAGTTTTGTCCAAAGGAAGACACCGGCAGCATTTTCAACTCGAATCAGATGACGCGCAATGGGAAGAAGAGCTTCAAGCCTTTCATCATTGAATCCGAGAAGAGGAAAGCTGGATTTGATGACTGCTTGGAAGTCCTTTGCCAAACTTGATGCAGCTACTCCTGTAGAGAGGCTGAGATGTTGGGCATTGGGGTTCTCATGATTGCGTATTGAGAGATTCGGTCGAGAAGATAGGATAATCTTCAACTGCGGAGAAGACGTGCGACAAGGGCAACTGCCGCCGAGCGCGCAAGGAGATTTCCAAGACTCTTCAGAAGGAGAGACCAGGTGGTCTGCCAATGAATCAAGAAGACTGGTGCGTACACCATCGTCACACTCGTCCAGCGCGTCTATCACGCAGACGATGCCTCTGTGCTTTGAGATTTCCCTCAGCGCGGTGACCAGACTGAACTCAGTGCCGGTAGACCATTGGCGTCTCCTTTTGACCACTGGGGTAAGGTAACGAAGCAGAGACGGTTGTACTGTGAGAACTTGGTGCAGAAGGGAGCGTAGAATAATTTCCGACGACTTTGGAGGAGCCGAAAAATCGCAGAAGAAGTTCGCGACAGCGAAGGAACGACGAGCGACAGCAAGAGGCTCATACGGAGTCTCATCAGAAAAGTCGCAGAGATAGTCTGATACATATCTCAACAATGTTGATTTGCCGCTGCCTGGCTTTCCTGTTAACCATAGCGTTGTGCTCTTATCGGCATGCAGCCAGGAGTCGAAGGATGGATGCGACCAAATCCACTTGCATGTGCCCTCGACGGGCTCTTGGATGAGATGCTCTCTCGATTTGAGACCCGGGGGTAGTAAGTGTCGTAGCCATTTTAGGTCTTGGAATTCGAGACTGTATCGAACAGGATCTAGTAATCAGGTCAGCCAAACCATTCGAAAGATGACCATATAGCCATGCATCAGCTCATGGGCCAATGATACTGTGCTTACCTGACTGCGCGATCCATCCCAGTAGCCACGCTAATTTATTGCGGAAGATGCAATAGTTTGGGTCACTCGAGCTTGTAAACGCCCAGAAGTCATGCTGTGATGATGGCAGAGCAATGATTGACTCTTGCTCTTCGGGTAGCCCGAGAGTTGCGCTATCACCTGGGACAGCCTTTCGTACCTTGTTAGCTGATGTGCAACGACGATTGCTTCCAATGCTTGGGTTGTTGAAATTCGTTTGTCGAAGCACACTGAAATAAGCCCTCACTTACTAGAGATGACGATTGCCCGTAAAAAGACAGGAACCTAAGACGGCAGGAGTATCTCGAGAGCCACTCATTGTGAAATCTCTCAGCAGAGAGGACCGTTGAGAATGATGACGAAGTTTTCAAGGCGCAGGGGGCTTTTCGGGATTGATTCATCCGGCAGTAGTCCGAGACTCTTAGCTGCGACGCAAAGTCCGACACTAGAGTCTCCAAGGTTGCGTCGGGAGATTTTGCCCGATGAGGTGTTCCAAAGAAGGCGATTCCTTTAGTTGCCCTTCTAATTGTCTTGAACCTCGAGTCTAGTGCTGCACGAAGCAAGGCACTCTTGACGAGTATTCCGCCCAAACCATGTGCGATGAAAATTATTGGCCGCAAAGGATCTTTTCGTCTTAGTTTGATAGCATGTTGAAGGAGGTGTAGGGTCACAGTTGCCAATCCGTTTTCCGTAAAACCAGACCGAAAAGCCGACTGAGGATCAAAGTCGAAGAAAAGTACTCTTGAATTTGGGAAGTCAATAGGGAGGAGGCCATCGATAAAGGCTTGGGTAAGGTCATCTCGGTAGCCCGAACCTGTCACCGGTTTTCGCGAGGGCTTCAGTCCTGGAACGATGATGATACTAAAGTTGCATCAGCAATGCTCTCTTGGGTTTAAGTAATGATGAAATAGGTACTCACTCTACCTTCTCGACTATTGGAGACGCAATTCGCAGATCAGGGGAGCCACCCAAGTCGGGATAGATCTGGAGCAGAGACTGCGAGGAAGCGTTCAGTTCCCATACTCATTGGTATTTAACGCCTGGAATAAACAAGTCATGAGACTGACCATGGGTACAAACTGTGGCTGAGATCTCTGAAAGCAGTGGCAGACTGATGATAGGCACGTGGAAAAGATCGATGATGGAATTCAAAGTGATGGTATCTTCGAACCGGTTTCTGGTCTCTTCAAATTCGTATCTCCCCCTCAGTAGTTCAAGTTTTCTCTTGAAGACCCCTTCAAACTTCGTCAAGACTCGAAGCAAACAAAAGAATGGAAGGAAAGGTGGTCGAGGATAGAAAGAGGGGAACTCTCAGACACTTGAACACGAGTATTTTTAGCCTGATCTAGAGGCCGCCTTTTGATGCAAGCTTCCGGATCGAAAGTGTACAAAGTCGAATGCTTCATGGCGTCATATGGGCTATGCTACGCAGGCTTGGCGAGATGGGGGCGAGATGGGAGCCCAATGGGCGAAACGCATTCGCTAGCCGGAAAAGAGCACGTATCCTTGCATAACGCCTTTTTTTGACATTTGGTCGGCAAAAAGAGTTGCAATTTGAAGAGGGAACGAATGCTGTGGCTGCAGTGCGTGCGAGCTTTGCTTCCAGACTTGGCGAGCAACGCAGTTCGGTGTGGTAGCACAATCTTCATCCTGGCACGTTCTTCTCTTGTGGCCAAGCCTCTGGCCTCCGATCCCAACGTTCAGGCAGATAGGCACAACAAAAGTACTGGAAAAGGAGTGCCAGTGAGGGGCGCTGGAAGTCCTGTCTCATAACGCCGCCGCCTAGCCGCCGACTATCCGCCCGGGGCCGAATCGCGGGGCAAGCATGTCATGAGACAAACTCGTCGAATCAGTCTTCCGCAATACGGGGCGCCATGGGTCTGTGGTTGAGGCAAGTGTAATTTCCAGGTAATCCCGTTCAGTCTTGCAGTGCTGTTTTTTTCGGATTATCACCGAGATTGCTACTCGAAGCAAGCATTGAGTACTCGGGTACATGAGCAGTTTTGCCGCCGCATGCAATGCGGGGCCAGAAACCTGCTATCAACTTATCTTTTTGAAGGGCCGAAGTCCCCTCGCATCTTCTGGTGGGCGGTGGCTGTGCCATTGAGGCTTGGCCGCCCCGTTGTGAAATTAGTTTCCATTGTTGGGTGGTTCTGGCAACCATCTCTTAACTTCCCGTATGTACCTTAGGGCAGGCTGATGCGGTCAAGTCTACGTAACCTTTTCATAGTGTATGTATTTGAATTCTACGAACATAGAGTGCTGCGGTACCCCTGATATACTGGTATCCCTTCGAACTCAGCTCGCAAGAGAGAGGCCCCGTCACTCATCTCGACATCATGATAATTATGCAACATCTTCAAGGTCTCAGCTCTAACATCCTCGGAGGAGCTACTCAGAGTAAAGACTCCATCGCTCTGCTCTGCTCCCATAAAGTTGACATCGCTCCCACCAGACGCAGTCAGCGGCCCTTTGATATCATCTGCATTGTCCTTGACTTTGTCCCCCATCTTGGAGTTCTCAGACTGATGCGGCAGAAAAGTAACCGGCATAGCCGCATAGGACACCAACCCTCAAGATTGTTCGTACAAGATCATCTCCCTTATTTACGGCGTCAAAGTTGTATACAATGAATGAACTTTTGCTCCGACCTATGCCACAGATCCCACGGTCTACAAGACCGGCTGGGAAGAATCTCGCAAGCGGGATAAAGTTTCTGGTCCTGATAGCGAGATGTGCCATCCATTCGCCACAGGACCAAACGGGGAAGATGTACCAACAGGCGTGGACCCAGCCTCTGCGCTGGAGGAAGTTGGGGCACTTGTGCAAGGTAACGTAATCGACTTTGGAAGAGCATCTTCTTCGGATATGGCGATGCTTTTGTGTGTTAGACTTGGTTCATATGATTTGCCTAGATGCAGAGGACGGCTTCCCATTCCGCCGAGGTATCTTGGCTATGTAGCAACTGATTGGGCTTAGAGGAATAGACGCAATTGATATTGTGAATAACATTCTTGCTAGCGTTTTCGGCGTGATATCGGGAGGTTAGCTGCTGAAGACGGCACCCATGATGATCAGTTACAATGGGTTGGAGTTTAATGGCTCTGTATAGGTAGGTAGCTGATATGGTGCAGAGCCAGGACAACTTATCGCAGTGATAGACTGAGATACAAGTACCTACTTAGGTAGCTAAGAGGAATGTTCAACAGCAAAAACCCCACGAAAAGGTGATATACGTACTTTACCGTAGGCAGCATGGAAAAGCAAAATATTTGAAATCCTTGGGACCTGGACGTTAGGGACACTGCACAAGTGAGCATCTTAATGCCTGAGAGGGAACACGTAGCAACTTTCAAAGGTGCTTGATTTGCTTTTTGCTGTTTACAACTAATATTACACTTTTGGGGAATCTTGGTTCGTTTGTCCTTAACGATATTTCTTCATTAGGCCATGTCTACTGGACCTGAAGCAGCCATCCATCGCCCTCCTTACCCATCGCACTGACGCCGCCCCAAAAGACGATACTCTTCCCATCTGCAGCATCTGCGCCGAAGCAGCCTCGTGGGCCAGGGTGTGCCTTGCCTTCCGTCTTGACTTCCTCGGTGGGAATTAGTTCCACCTCTGCCCAACTAAACTCTCCAGAATCCACACGGGGTAGCTTGTCACGTATTGCATCCTTCACGGCGGCTGCGTTGAAGCCGTGGGAAGGCAATTGAAGAGCCCAGATGTCGGTATAGAAGTCCTTGTCGGTTGAAGTGCTGTTCTTGCCAAACAGGTAGACGAGGTAATGTCTGCCAACACCAGTGTCGACAGGCACGAGAGCGCCACCTTCGCGTGGTCGGGGACCAGGTGTAAGTGGGTTGGTCGGGAAGTTGACAGTCTTCCACTGCAGGGCGTCGGGCTTTTCGCGGTCCTCGGCGTTGGACTTGAGGTCCATGTAGTGGATGGCACCGCTCATGTTGGAGTCCGCTCCAATGGTGTAAAGCACGTTATCCACGAATGCGGCGGCAAGAGGGGGTTGGGGAGAAGGCGGCAATGCAGTCCAGGCTAGAGTGTCAAAGTTGTACATCCACGTCTCTGTAGATGCCTCTTGTCCATGAGCGGTTCTTCCTCCATGCAGGACCAGGAAATCTTGAGCCTGTTCGATAAAGATGTGGTGGTCGAATCTCGGTGTGATGGTCTTGCCAATCTGGCTAGCTCCCTGGATCTTGGTCCACTTCAAGCTCTCAGAGTCCCACAGCCAGAGACAAGTCTCGTCGATGGGCTTTCCGCTAGCATCAGCACCGCCATTGACGATGACAAACTGACCGCGGGCTGCTGCTGCATGTCTTGAGCGCGGGGACGGGACGTAGGTCTTGCCGGTCTCTGCGTCCTGCATCGCAAACGCGGGATAGCAGGCGTAAGCTGCGACTGGCTCTCCTTTGGTCATGGCTGGCAATGAGAGGACATGGAAGTCGGTAGAAGCCAGCTGACCATCTGCCGTCTCACCACCAAAAATGCACGCCTTGTGATTGACGACGGTGACTGAGTGATGGGAGCGTGCAAGGGCGCTATTCATTGAATCAGAACAGTTCACTCAAGCTGGAGAGAAGTACTTACGAAGTGTCGAATGCGGGGGACTGGGTGGTGGCAACCTGGGATAGAGACACCTTCAGTGGCTGGGTCGGGCGTGCCACTGCGACGGCCGCTCCAACTTCGATGCCGGTGGACACGACCTGCTCGGCGACAACAGCGGCTGCTGCGATTTCCGCCATGGTGGTGATGTCTGATTCTTGTCGTACGAAAGGGCGAGTATTTTCGTGATGTAGGTGATGGTACGTAAGCGGCGAGAGCTTGCTTGCTTGCTTGGGAGTCTCGGTGGTGTATGAACTCGCAAGTGGCAGTTTACAGGTGTGGTGTATGAGGGTGAAGTTGATATAAGGTAAGGTGACGCATTACCCAACAAATTTGACAGGTGAGGCTGGAACCGTGTTGCATCAGCGTCGGCTGCGAGGTGATTGTCAGGAACAGCTGGGGAACGTAGATGACGTAAGGTACTTAGGTTTGTAGCTTGGGGACCCTGCCTTCCGCGTAGGGCATGACGTCACGTGGCCGAGCTCTTTGATCGTCCCTTCCCATCTAAAACTGAGATTTGAAGGTTGTCCAATATGAACCTACTAATTACGGAACTGATGCAGGGACAGACCGAGGGTTTTGACGATAGACAAAGGATGAACACGGGCACTTCTCCGCTCCGGCCCGAAGCGTCCTGCTCTGGCTAGTCAGTCACCTAAATGGCTGGAGGCAACTGCCAACGTACCAACACCATCATCAGGTATTTTGCGAGCTGGTGGACGCTTGATGTTGAAGTGGGTATTTTCAAGTCGTAATTTAGAATGAAAACTAATTCCTTCTAGTCTGGGAGCCAAGTCTCATGTGCTGGTGGCCCGAATGTAGCTTTGAAGCGGCGCTCTGATGCCTGCTCGGTTCTCGGCACCGGCCTCGGAAGGCCCTTCGGTGAGGTAGCCCTGACCCACAGCTTGTCCGGCCCGCAAATCCGGACCCTTCAATCACCTTACTGGGATAAACGCCAATGCACTCGACCTTCGTTGCCAGACAGGAACCAACAGGCATGTACCCAAAAGACAATTAGGAGTTTTCGGATTGTACTTCTCCAAAATTCCCCACCGAGCGCCAGCCTATCGCCACACTCATAGCCTTGACGCCAGACCAATGAATTTCCACCCTTTCAAGTCAAGTCGTGTTGGTCCTATGCAACTGGCTGAAGATATGACTATCTCGATCATGCACGACTTCAACCTCAGACTAATGTCGGGGATAGATGTTTTTAAGCTAGTCCTTAATTCTCAGGCGAACCCCTGTTTCAAGGAGGAGCACCCTATGGCGCTCACTTACATTGGTTTATATTCCGCTCCAAATACATGAATACAATTTTGATTCAAACTACTCTTTCGTAGCTTGGTCGTTTCCCCTCTCTGCAAGATTTGACGATGGTCAGCCTTTGGCAAGCAAGTTGCCTTCGGTGGTTATGTTGCAAACTTGCTTCTGGTATGTCAGCAAAGTCACATCTCGGGCGTTGAATAGAGTCGAGTAGACTTACAGCCCTTCTTGCTCTGAAATCTGTGTAGAAGCTATACCAGATCTCTCTTCCCGTACAATCCTCAGTCCCATTTCTTATCACGCAGTCTGGTTGGCTCTCCTTGATCAAGCTATCGGGCGACTTCAACCAAGGTTTGTGCATCGGCCAATCAGAGAAATGAAGATACTTGGCTTCTCTATAAACAGCAGCCGGATTCCAGACCTCATTGTCGTTTCCGAGGTAGTAATCTTGATGATCGCCACCAAAAGACCGAGTGAGCAGGGCATATGGTCGGTGGGGGAGGATCATGGCGCTGTCCTTGTATAGATCGTTGATAATCTCCATGTCATACTCTTCTCTTTCGGCATGTTCTACCTTAGCCACTATTCGGGCAAACTCGGCAACGCTGGGCTGTACGAGCATGATATGGGAAGCAACTATCTTCTTCTCTGGGTAGAGCCAGTAGGCCCGTGGAACAGCCACTGTGGCTGGCGGAGAGAGGAAAAGTTCGTCAATATTCTGAAGCAGGGTAGCATCAGAGTCAATAGAAAGAACCCGGTTGTACTGTGTCTGATTGAAGGCCAGGAGCTTGGTAAAAGAATCAGCCCATGTGGCTATTATTGTTGAGCCGTCAGCACATGGATCTGGGTCTTTTGTCCTAATCAAGAGATTCAACTCACGATCTGAACCTTGCCTATGCTGGATAGTAATGGGAACGAGTTTGACGCCGTATACATCCCTCGCACGAATAAGAAGGGTAGCATCTTCGGTGGTCTCTCCTCTCGCCAGAGGATCCAGCATTTTGGAGGGGTATAGTAGGACGCGATCAGCCTTACTTTTGAGGTGCTGCAACCTCTCGAAAACCATGACTGAATTGCAGAGGTATGGTGTATTAGTGGCGTACTGTACGTATGCAAATCGAGACCAGTCTACATTTGCATGGCTCGTCACGGTCTCGGCTTTAGTTGATTCCCCGACTTCGGGCTGGGTCGGCGACGAGGTAGAAACTCGTATTAATCTCGAGGCTTGGACAGAATTGTCGATAATGAAGACCAAGAGAAGCGCTCCAATAATGGTCCCCGCCAGCCAGCGAAGGCGTTTCGAGGCCACGACCTCGAGAAGACTTGGCCGTTCTGTACGGGAGGGTGGATCAGTTCCGACTCCATCGTAGTCTAGGCCCTGAGGGCGGTGCCATGGTGAAAGGAGACGTTGGATACTCATTGATGGAAAAACAGCCAGGAAGAAAGTGAGCGAACAGACAGCGCAAAATGTTTCCACAGCGTTGGTCGTGCAAGCCTACACCTGGAACTAGAAGACGAAATTGTGTCGATGCGACAGATCTAACTTTCGCTAGGAAGCCAGCGAGATTGCGAGCCAAGATGCTGAGCCGTCATGAACCCTGTCGTGTAATAACAAGAGTGGGTTCGCTTTGCCATTAGTGAGCTAGCTCCATAGGTAAACAATCTACATATGGATGTGTAATACGGATATGAAGGATTTGGTCCTTATGATGGATAAGAGTAGACACAGAGACGAAGAGGCTTTTTGCCGCCAGTGGGATTCTTGCCGTCAAACAGCCCGAGGAAATGAAGGCATTTAGGAGAAAGAAAGAGCACACTAAGAGAAACATTGATCAATGTCGCTATGAGACTATCGGAGGGATGGTGGAAACGAGTGGCTGTCGAGATTGCGTCCTTTGACTGAACGAAGCTGAATTTCGATTTGTTCGCAGTCTGGGCAGGATTCTCAGGAGAGCCCAACTAGCCAATGAGACTGAATACCGACTGTTTGGTTCCGCATCAATAGCTCATCCGTTACCTGATGGCCGCAGCAAGGTCTCGGAAAACAGAACAATCATTTTGAATACCTTGTTCATTGCCTGATGGAAGGGGGCTGCACAAGCCATAGACGTGCTCGGAGGCACTTGTTTGTTGCAACAAACGCACCGCCGCAAGCAAAGCACCGCCGCAAGCCTGCGTGTGAATGCCCAGGAAAACCCCAGAAGCTAATATGTCGATGCTCGCCTTTTTTTCCCTTCTTTGCTTTTGGTCCCTTTCTTTATGTTTTACAGCTGAAGACATCGTCCTACACTCTGTCTAGTGAGGCCATTTCCATCAGTTGCAGAGCCGTGGATGTCAACTTCGACAATGGCTATCAACCTATCGCTCGTTCTCTCACTAAAACTCTTTTCTTCCCGATCAAGCAAACTCTCTCAGGCGCAAACCACGGTCCCATTCGAAGTGGCATGATCTTCTTCAACGTTTGGACCAGATGGTCCATTACAAGCCTTCAAAGTCAATATTAACGCAGACTCAAAAGTGGCCTCATATCTGGGGCACACTTGATCATCGCAACCGACTGTTAAAATATTAATAGTTACAACAGATGTTATTCCTCAGAAGGAGGCACGTTTGAAATATATCGACGAAAGCCCAAACTCGATCGTGGCAATTGGCGTTGCTCATAGCTACAAATCACATCGACGGTACATCTCTTCCGCCACAGAGGATGATTACAGAGCCCTGAAGACTATTTAATGTACCTTTGACTTTGTGGCAATTTGAAGGGCGTCGAAGACTTTAACCCACAACGAGATTTGATCCGGGCAGTTTTCAGGCAGTTTGATCTCACATCAAACAGCTCACAATGTTTCCACGGCTCTGTTCTTGGCGATTCTCTCTTACCAATTGAAATGTTGCGGCGTGTAACAGCTCCTTTAACAAGCAAGGGCTGGTCCCCGAGATCAAGACTACACTTCTTGGATTGCAAAGTTCCTTGACTGCCATGAGAGATGCTATGCGTGCGGCGTATGGGTCGTTCCACGTCATGGTGGGCGACAAATCTCACACAACAGCGGCAGAAGTCATGAAAGAAATGTTTGCAGTCGGTAACAAGGCATGCGTTGTCGCCGTAGCATCGCTTAATGCGACTGCCTTATGGCTTTATTGGAACTTAACGAGGGGTGTTCTTGGCGGATGGTAGCAGATTGGATTTTGAAAGTGATATGTGTCATAGAAAGAAAAATCGGGTCCAAATGAAATCCACATGCGTTTCCAAATAGCTGCCGGTGTGTTCCAAACCACCGGATTAACCCCTAATGCTAGTCTAGACAGATGACGTACTTTTGTGGACAAGGAAAGTCTTACTAAAGTCGTTATAAGAAACTGCCTAACATCCAAAATAGTAGACCGCTGGACTAGAAAGAGCAATATAGCCTCTGGGATATTGACTATTTGGCCTAGGTAGTTTTCCTAGGTGGTTAAACTGGGAGCATTTACTCCCTGTCTTAATACCATCTAAGCCTGGAATCATCCGGCACAACGCCATCGCACTCTGAGTAGTTCAACGGATCTTGCTGACTTACAACAGAACATGCATTGAAGTCCTCGGGATTATGATTACGACGAGTATTGGTTTCAGAGGCAACTTAGGAAAAAAGGAAGTTTGCCGGCCGATGCCGGTCGATCTCCGAAAGAATCACCGAAATGCCTTCCGATTCCGGGGCCCGACAGCCCCGGGAATACCGCAGGCGACGAATAGTCAGCTTCTCAATCTGGAATCGTACCCGAGTGCCGAACGACTTCCAGATCTGCACCTTAGGGCGGGACGGATGAAGACTTGGCCGTGCACTCCGCCCCAAACGGGCTCAGTCTACGGACCTAACAACTACCTTAGTCGTAGGCAACCTCTCGTTATCTCAAGTTTCTTCGTCATTACTCGATCGAAGCCTTCCCATCTTCCAGACTTACAGCAAGTCGAGACGTATTAAGAAGAGATCGGACCAAACTTGTTGACAGATGCTCCTTATTGCTCCTGGAAAAAAAAATACAAACCGATGGCGCCCTGATTGCGGGGTCACCCAACGCACACTGAGTCGCAACAGCAGATTGCGTGCTCGACGCCCGGGATAGCAACATTGCAACCACCATTTCCAATCAAAGCCGTTCCCGATAGTCTCTCTGGTGGTCAGCTCACCATCTGACCGGTCTTGTTCGATATGAATTGCGTCATTTGTCCCTATCTCTTCGTCTCATGTAGCGCCGAACACCAATGATATTGTGAAATTCCAGGAACCCATAAGCCGGGACCGTATCGGCTGGTACCGCTGGGCTGTTTCTTGGAGAAAGTCCGAGAGGCAACGCAATCGAATCCCTGTCAGCATGCAATCTTTGGGACGAATGCCCCTCATCGGATATCCTCCGACGTCGATGGCTTGTGGGAGGGGTATTCTATTTAAGCCCATGGGGGCAACTACAGGATTTCGGGGTGTCGATTTGTGTTACACCAGACTTGGGCTTACTTCAAGAAAGGAGAAACAACCTAGCTAAGGAATTCAAAATGGCCCCTTCAGCAACTGCGACAGCCACCGTGAGCGACCCGGTCAATCTCCCGGTGAACAACCTCCGATTATACGCCGACGGCTCCGGAGACTACAAGGAACTCTCACCCACAACCTATGACAAGGACGTTGAAGCCAAGGGAGGCGACGGCCATGAGGGTGCAAAGGTCAGTATTCCCTGAAGGACTCAACACATCGTGCTTGTCTAGACGAAGGGCTGACTTGGTTGACGTAGTATCCTCACTACCTTCCCACATGGAACCCCGAGCAACAATATCCTCCCCTGCAACCCTTCCAGCACTACGAGCACGGCAGAGACGCAGACCCTAGCTACCCTGATCTGCTCCCCAAGGACGCACATGTAACCGACCTCACGCCCTCGACCGGTACAGAAGTCAGAGGCGTCCAGCTCAGCAAACTTAGCAACGCGGGCCGTGACCAACTTGCTCGTTTCGTCGCAGAGCGCAAGGTCGTTGCCTTCCGCGGCCAGGACTTCGCCGATCTGCCCATCGACAAGGCCCTCGAGTTCGGTGGGTACTTTGGCCGTCACCACATTCACCCGACTTCAGGATCCCCTGAGAACTTCCCAGAGGTTCACCTCGTCCACCGTGCGGCGGGCGACAGATCTGCAGAGAAATTCTTCGCCACAAGGACCAGCTCTATCGCGTGGCACTCTGATGTCTCATACGAGCAGCAGCCTCCTGGCACAACTTTCCTCTACATCCTCGACAAGCCTGAGACGGGAGGCGACACCCTGTTCTGCAACGCCGCCGAGGCCTACAATAGACTGAGCCCGCTCTTCCAGGAGAGACTTCACGGTCTGCAAGCTGTTCACTCTGGCGTGGAGCAGGTTGCTGCTTCTGTCAAGAAAGGCAGCATCAAGCGTCGCGAGCCTGTTGCCAACACACACCCCATTATCCGCACACACCCTGTAACCGGCGAGAAGGCCCTTTTTATCAATCCTCAATGTGAGTCTAATCCACCAGGAATCATCCCATCCCCATTGACTGACCAGTTCGCCAGTCACGCGTGAGATTGTTGGTCTCAAGAAGGAAGAGTCCGACGCCCTGCTCAAGTTCCTGTACGAGCACATCGCCTGGGGTGCTGACTTCCATGCCCGCGTGAAGTGGGAGGAGGGCACTGTTGTTGTCTGGGACAACCGTGTCACCCAGCACTCTGCTCTGATTGACTGGAACAATGGCTCAAGAAGACACTTGGCCAGAATCACACCGCAGGCTGAGCGACCGTATGAGACACCCTTCAAGGGTTAGAGTGCTAGAGTATCAAGAGGAGTTGCGGCGTGTACATCAAAGACCGACGCGGTCTGTAGGGGCAAGCAAGCCTTCTAGCATTGCAATTGCAAACCCAGGCACAGGCGACTTATAGTTATGAAGAAATGCCAAATTGATTACGAATTACTACTATTTACTCTACCACTGGTCAAGATGCTAGGAAAACTTCTGATATGAGATCATTTTGAGGCCTTTGCGAGCCCCGTCAATGGAACTTGGCAGAGTCAATCATGGGGCATTGCTGATGTGGCAGACAAATTATTGTGCTCCCCCACAGCTACGTGTCTCGACCGGTCCATGTAACGTTGAGAGTTTCTAGGAGCGGCCTTTTCAATGAAGGGAATCGTTCGGGGCTTGTTTTGCCCAAGGTCAATGTTCAAGAGTTGGAACTCTTTCTCATTATGGCCAGAGCCAGACATCACTAGCGGATGACGAATCGCTGTCTGCGTACCGAAGGGATGGCTACCTTGCCTCGCGTGGAGTCGAGCCTTGAGCTAAGGCATGTCTCTTGAAGCTATCTTGAACCTGGGGTCTTTTTTCTGCCCTTGGCAAGCCACTACCAAAGCCTAAACCATACTTACGGTTCACAACTTTTGGATGAGACAAAGATTTTGATCAAGAATCGACCTAATGAGTGATCGAGTCAACCACATCCTTGGCGTTAAGTTGCATAGCCCATTCGAGGGGATCGGAGAGGCTGGCAGTTGACGCGGGTTGTTTCGTCCGCTGTTATCTGATTGGCCAAATTCTCCCATTTCTGCCCAAGATTCTGTCGCAATTCCATGGCCCCTATCACGCAATATTTTCTACAAACCCTTTTCGTCAGCAAACATGTGGGTGCTGATGCCGCTTGAGACTTGATAGGGACGGGGCATGGATTATCCCCGCCATCAACTGCACTATCCACACATGGTGATTGACTCGTCAACTTTGCTGCACTGCATTGCGCAGCTCTCCCTTGTCGGCATCTAGACCCTTACGCACCCACCACCCAATCACTCCCGTGGACCCAGACGGGACTCCTTCCGCTTAGCTAAATGTTCTCTAAAGTAAGCTTGAATTTGTCCGTTATAGCGCTCTTTGCCCCAGGCGATGACTGCCGCCCAGCAATGGACGACGACATTCAACTTGGCCAGGGCCACTCTGGATCACACCCCCCACGCCTTCTAGCACAACTCGTTGGGCCATTGCTACGCGGCGTCATTCATTCAAGCTATTGCACCATAGATAAGAAGTACTATTCGTTCAAGGGGGCAAATCACCAATGAGGTGATCGCCTTGGATCATCGCGACACTCTGAAGGCTTTTCTCTCTCCGCGAAAGCCCCCTGTCATTCAACGTCAGGTAGAGGGATTGAGATGGGATCGGACGCGGATACCAGAACCAGATTGTCGGGTCTTAAAGGATGGAATGTATAAAAGTCCATGCATCTCCACGGACCGGACCATGTCCCCGGTACCTGTGAGATTGTGATGCTTTGTTGAGATTCTGGAAGACTTCTGCAGGACTTCGCATAAAGCCTGACAATTGGCTTGTCAAGTGTTTGCCAGTCACGTTCCGCCATGGCCTCTACCGGTGTGGAAGGGCCCTTCAGGGACTCGACCAAAGAGATCAACACCATTCAGACACAGGCTGCCACCGACACTTCGGCTTCGTCCTTGAAAGAGCAGGTTGCCCAGCAGTACGGGTCCACAGACGAACATATCTTTTCGGATCCTGGCATCGCCGACCACTGGCGCAAGATCTATGAGAAGGTAAGAGACAAAGTCAAGTTGAAAGTTCGGTGTACTGATTCTATCAAAAGGCTTCCTACGAGAATCGCCACCGTTTCGACCCTACCTACACCTGGTCGGCCGAGGATGAGAGAAAGTTGGTCAGAAAGGTACAATTTGTTTCCACCTGGGCCTAGGAATTGCGGCTGAAAACAGGTGCTAATCTGGCTGGGTGTAGATTGACAGGAAAATCATGGTGTGGGCTTGGGTAAGAACTCCGTTCTCTGAGATCATTGACAGACCGAAGCTTACGATATCTCAAGGTCATGTTCTGCGCTCTCGATCTCCACCGGCGAAATATCAACCGCGCAATTTCCGACAACATGGTATGAAGTGAACAGCGTAAACTCAATCACCCGTCAAGTCGCTAATTCGAACGACAGCTGCCGGAGCTCGGCATGACCACGAACGATTTTAATTACGGACAAACTGTTAGTGCACTCACGCGAGGAGATTTTGGTAGGATCCATAGGCTGACAAGTGGTTCAGATCTTTCTTTTATCATTCCTCGCTGCGGAGTTGCCTAGTGGTCTCGTTAGCAAAAAGCTCGGTGCCGATGTTTGGATTCCTTCCATCATGGTTGGTTGGTCCATCACGGCCGGATGCCAAGCTTTCTTGTCGAATCGTGCCGGATTCTACGCGGTGAAGGCTCTGCTTGGTCTTCTTATGGGCGGGTTCATTCCGTAAGCTTTGATCCCGTGGTTAATATGCAGGCATAGGGTTTACTGTACTGACTGAATGCAGCGACATTGTTCTGTGGCTCACATACTTCTACAAGTCTAATGAGCTGCCTCTCAGGCTAGCATGGTTTTGGACAGCCCTCAGTACTGTCAACATTGTCGGCTCTTTGGTCGCTGCGGGTGTTCTTCAGATGCGAGGAGTCGCAGGTTGGGCCGGTTGGAGATGGCTGTAAGTTTTCACTGAGACCAGGGATTTGAGTACCAAGCTGACTCTGTCTAGATTCCTTATCGAGGGAATCGTGACCTTGATTATTGGACTCCTCTCTTGGGGCTTGATGCCACCCGGTCCTACCCAGACCAGAAATTGGTTCCGTGGTAAGGATGGATGGTTCACCGAACACGAAGAGTCTATTATGGTAAACCGCTTGCTGCGGGACGACCCAAGCAAAGGTGACATGCACAATCGGTACGAACCCCTTCTTCTACAGCTCCTCATAAGTACACCAGCTAACATGTTGAAAAGCGAAGCCGTTGGGCCATCACTTCTGTTCAAGGCGATCAAGGACTGGGAGCAGTGGCCTTTGTACCTGATTGGCCTGGTCGCTTACATCCCGCCATCCCCACCAAACACGTATCTGTCGTACATCCTGCGCAAACTAGGCTTCTCTACGTTCCAGGCCAACCTTCTCGCCATTCCTTCTCAATTCCTGTTCGCCATCAACCTCTTGATCATCTCCTGGGTTTCCGGAAAGTTCAAGGAGCGCGCCATTGTCTCGTCCATCTCCAACATTTGGATTTTCCCCTGGCTTGTCGCACTCGTGGCCTTACCCGCGAATACCAGCACTTGGATTAGATATGCTTTGTTGACAGGTTTGCTCAGCTACCCTTACTGCCACGCCATCTTGGTCGGTTGGAACGCCAAGAATAGCAATGCTGTGCGAACGAGGGCTGTCAGTGCTGCGCTCTACAACATGTTTGTGCAGGCGGGCAATATCGCGGCTTCAAACATCTACCGAGATGACGACCAGCCGCTGTACCGCCGCGGAAACAAGATCTTGCTCGGGATCTGCTGCTTCAACATCGTCCTGTTTTACTTCGTCAAGGCCTTTTACATCTGGCGTAACAAGGTCCGCGACAGGCGGTGGAACGCCATGACTAAGGAGCAACAGGAGGACTACTCCCTCAACACCACTGATGAGGGACAGCAAAGACTCGACTTCCGTTTTGCGCACTAGGCAACTTTCTAGGTTTTGAAGAATGCGAGGTACATGGACTTTGGGCTCGCAGCCTAGGGACGCTCGAGCATCGGAGTCTACCTCCTAAATTTGGATGTTGGAAACGACCTGGAGTCGACTACTAGCGGAGAGTGCCCCGTCGTAAAAGATTATACATCGACACTTCTCATATCTTGAGAGCACGTTTGTAGTGACATCGAGCAATAACTCATTTCAATCAACCCCAAGACGTACTACCATTCAACTTCAAAGAACGTTGTAGTGTTATTATACAATGCACGCAGAATTTTCGAGTCGGAGCACTGGCCAGTTACTCATGCTTTTGCCAGACCATTTTCGATATCAAGGTTGACTTGACTCGAAACTTCGTACTCTCACAGTCCTCAGAATAGCTCAATCTTCTCCACAAGTATCCATTGAATGGAGATGGCTTGCAGATAATCACATGGCAATCGCGCCGTACCTAGCTTATATCCACCTCTGCTAAGCCAACCATGGACGGAGCTTACGATTATCGGTTAGCTGAATCTCACTCAACAAGTCGTCGTTGGCCAATGATATTTCAGCAAGAGCACTGGTGGTATTCCAGCACTACTTCATGATGCAAGGGGCTGAATCCTTCCAGGGGCTAGGCACCAGGATTTCGATTTCATCTTTTTGTCTTTCCATCGTCGCATCGTGTCGGAAAAAGCTTCCTTCTCGTGTTTGACCAACAGCAAATGAGTCTGTCTTCAATGACAGTCTGCACCAGACTGATTCAATAATGAGCATACTTCCTGGTACCAAAACATCATGGACATCATTCATATCGGTGAGAATTGTTCATTGTCCGTAGACTACTTTGCCTGGATCTTGACGTAGCACAACGAACCACCATATCCTAATGTCGCGTCATTCTGGCAAACAGCGGTTGATGGCTACATCAACAGTAATGCAACCAATTCTCGAGTCATTGATTGGAACAAGTGGGCGCGCAACAACAAAAATGAGCTGGCTGACCAAGTGATTAATTCGGCGATCTGTCGCAGTTCGCTTTGCCAGTCGATTGGGTCCGAGATCGATAGTGGTCTGGCGGGGTATGGGGTCAGCAAATGATCGAGGAACACTATGACAAAATGCTAACACCTGGCAGCTTCTTGCTTCTTACGGCATTGAGTGTATTTTGCTCACTGTTTACTGTGCTTTTGGGATTCTGAATTCCTTGAAACGCGGCATAATCTCACCCAATCCGGTCGACATGCTTCACACGCCATCGTCTTATAATAAGACACGGCTACTATTTTCTCATGTTAATGAGGCTATTAGAGGCAAAAGATATGAACTTTTTATCGCCGCCGCTTCCCTCTCTCTTGAGATCCAAGCCACTGTCATCTATAGCCAAGTCACACCCATTTCCTACCAGTATAATTCATCTTTACAACTCATTGTCTCAGCGCTCAGTTTTTATCCACTGGCGGCAATGCTCCCATTCATCCTAGATTCCACGCGTCGTAGTTGGATGAAGGGGGCTGTACTCACCGGCCTCTTCGTCATCCATTCCTCAGCATAGATTCTCTGCACAAACAATGCCCAAGTCCACTATTACCACAACGAAGGTGTCTTCAATGCCTGCCCACAGAACCATCCTTCGTAGGTTGTCGTCGGAGCTGCTATGTTCACAATGGCTGTGATGATGTGGATGCCACCTCTCTTCGGTCTATGCCGCAGTGTTGTGCTCTGCTTTTATCGGTGCAACAATCGCAAGATGTGGCAGGCAAAATGACTCAACAAGGTTGCCAAAGGAGCTGTCATTTGGTATGCCAGTGTCAATTTCATCTGCATGTGGGGAGCTTGGATAATACTTGTCGTCTTCCTCGCTGGTGCTTCAAAGAAGACAGAGAATGGTTGGAGCCTGTGTCAGGCACTTGCCATAACCCCTTGGATACTGGTCCTGGTGGAGTTCGTACCCATCTTATGTCGTAGGTTCACTGTCGCCTTTGCGCTAGATCCTTGCTCACATTTTGAAGCCGGGGCCGAAGCTGGACACACGAGTCGTCTCCCCAGTGAGTTCGACGTAGTGCGGAAGGAGGCGGTTATCCACCAGCAGGAAACAGACGGATTTTTGAGCGGAGCGGGCGACTGCGACGGAAATACCCCTTGAGATTCGGTCTGGAGGCTTCCTCTTCCGTATACGACATCCTTCTTTCAATGACCATGCGACCTCAAAACTGGGGTCAAAGTCACACCGATCGAAGGGAAGCGGGGTGATTTCTCTGATTACCTTAAGGTAGGTATTTATGGTACCGGCCCCATAGTACTTTCGGACCGCCGGCGTTGGCCTCAATTTTGCTATTCCACCTTGATTAAAGACGGCGAAAGTTTTTGTCAATCAATGCATTCCATTTTGTGACGAGACCTCGGCCCAAACTCACTTGCAAGCAGGAAAACTTGAGAATTCGTATATCTACATTTGCGTATGCGAATGAGAATCTTGAAATCGACTCAAGGCGGGCAGTGAGGGATCCGTAGAGACGTGGCGTGATTTCGAAGTCACAAAAGCTGAGCTAAAAAGTTGGACGCAAAATCGAGAGCCAAATCGCACTATTCTCGTACGCAGGATTCTGGAACAATATCGCTCATGCATTATGAGTCTGCAGTGCTACGCGTACACGATTTCGTGACTGGTAATAAAGAGCAAGGCTTCTCACCGAGCCGCCGAGATTCATACAGGCTGATAGCAGCACCTCAAGTTTTCACCCAGGTAACATGTTCTCATTTTGACGCTGAGAAGTGACCCCTGCACAGGTCTGAACATTATGTGACCACACTCTCTTATCTGGACCACCCCAGCTGACCATGCTGAGGTTCCAGCGGGCGCTTCCGCAGCGGTTCGCCTTGGGAGGCCGCCCCAACCAAGTAGGTTGCATGCTGCATGCTGCAGGCAGAGCACCTCGATCTTCGTCTAATTCTCTGTCTATAAAAGTCTTTGTTCCAGACAAATAAGATGGTAGCACTTTTCCGCCAAGGGCATGCAGTCCATCTCAGCTTGCAATCTTTGAGGAAGCGATGAGGTGGAGCATTAAAGTTCAATACTCTTTTCCTGCGTAGATATACCTAGTGTTGTTTATCTTTTGGCAGAATGGAAGAGAAGTCAGCAATTCCGACTGGATGTCGACCCAGTCCTACCAGAGGTTAGTAGCGTCCCAAAACGGTTAATTGGATGCGACCAAGTTAAACTCATTATTCCATCAACAGTGGCACCAGAGGAGCAGATGTATGCACAACGGGTGGACTTGCAATCCAGGAAACACAGCGAAAGGTCTTTCTACACTTTCGGAATCCTCCGCCCGCTTTCAACCTTTTTAACATCCCCGTACTACCTACCTGAGGAAGAAAACCAATCCGGTGTTGAACACGACGAAAATGCAACCAACGGTGATGCCTTCGTTCACCTGCGCACCTACCTTCCAGGGGTTGGCAGCCCCATTCGATATGACGTCAAAACCTTGAAAGACCTCGAATCATCCCTAGATCAAGTCAATTCTTGCCGTGTCGGTGGCACTGTCATATTTCTCAGAGGTCATCAGCCGGCACGGTGGCTGAACGTTATTGGGCACAAATTATCTCTCGAGCCAGAATTTTACCGTCGGCACCTTCACTTCTCCACCGCAAGTTCCACTTTCCAGGAACAACACTACTCTGATGCGTCTTTGCCGTCATCCAAAACTCAAATGATGCAGTTGAACCTCACAACGCTCGGCACACGCTTCGCCCCTGTTATCATGAAACGATCAGAACAGGAAGAACAAAAAAAGCTTTCCAGTCTACGAAAGCAAGTTTCCAGTCAAATGAAAGGATATCTCAAGACCCGGGACCGATATGGCCCAGAACTTGAGCATGGTATGTCGATGGCTAGGAACTTCTTTGTGCTTGATCATCAGAATGTTTCATTGGAGCAAGTGATATCCATATATGTAACAGAGAGGCCCTGCAATTCCAGCCATTGGACAGGTAAGTTCATCAGCATTCTTTCTGTTGGTTATGATCATGATTTCTGAATGTGGCAAAGCAATGATATTGGCATTGGGTTTGGGCCTGAAGATGGAGGTCCCTGGGACTCAAAGTTATTGGAACATATAGGCATGCCAGTAAAGTATTGGGCCACGACTCAACATCGGCCTGGCATGTTTTTTGCCGACGAGAAAAGTCTAGGGGACCTACGATCAAGTTACCCACCAGCAGACGACGATAGAAATTCCACATCACAGCCCGCGACCTCCAGGCTATTATACGAAGCTTTTGACACACTTCTCGATAGTGACACAATGGTGGAGGATACTTATTACAGCCTGAGCATTATTTTCAGGTTTGCGGTGGCATCCGAAGCACAGTTTCTCGACAAGTTGCAGCATCTGCTTGAACAAGACATGCAACCCGCGGTCCTCGCACAAACAGACTTTGATAAGAGACTGACGATGTGGAACTTGGTACACAACAAGCAGATCCTTGATCGGCACGTCCAGAATCTGGAAGAGATATGTGACTTTCTGGAGGCAAAAGACAGCAACAGTTGGGCCACGGCCAAATCAGTTGGTGTGCTAGAGAAGGCCGGCATGGTCAATAGACTGATAGAACGCGACTACCAGAAGATGAGGCGCCGGGCTATCAAGTTGAGTGAGGACTACTGGCAGAATACATCGATGCTTGCAAATGCTGCTATGATTGACGATTCTCAGAGGGCCATCTCTCAAGGAGAAATTGTGAGAAAATTGTCGACTTTGGGGTTCTTCTTCTTGCCATTGTCATTCTCGACATCGATATTCGGCATGAATCTGCAGGAGTTGAACGAAGGCAGCTATACGAAACTTGGTGTTTGGATAGCCATTGCTGCAGCATCTCTCCTCCTCGCCTACTTGATGCTTCGATGGTCCTCTCATCGCCAGACGATGCTTGGATCGTGGCGAAAGTTGAGAGCAGTGTACAACCCTAGCAATGTGTAGCAAGGGCACAAGGAAGATATACATAGTGTCCTGGTCATTTTTCGTTTCGCGCTCTTAGCTATCATTCTATATAAACTGCACTGTTGAAGACAATTTTGGTCCGGATTTCCTCGCCCATGAGTTCATGAATATTGACGTAACACAGAGCATTACCACAATATAAGCAATGACTGTGTTTCCCTATCCGTAACCTACTTTTTGGTATAGTGGAAAGGTCGATAAAGGAATGATAGATCCTCCTACAGACGATGCGACTGTAAAAGAAGCGCCGGCACAACCTTAAAACCCCGGTACTGATTCAAAGATGAAGAAGAACAGAGACAGATGTTGAATGATGCATCAGCGGCAAACCTACAACAGAACCCAGGGCTGCTCACATGGACGGCCATACACCCAAACTCAAAGAATTATAATCCGAGGATGGGCACTATCCAATGCATGCGCATTGAGACAGATCACCCATACCACAGATGGCCTACTACGGGAAGTAGGAGCGCCCCTGATGCAAGAAGAGGCTGGCGTGTTTTCGGTCTTCCTCCTCAGGAAACTGCGTCGAAACGATTCCCATCAGCTTTTTTGATGACGCTAGAGCACTGATTCCCCCAACTCCGATTCCCAGGTACTACAATTAAACTGTTGTTGGTGGAAATCCATACTGATTCTGGTAGACGGTACCCGAAGACGCCTGGTTGAGAATCCTCTGACATGGCGCTGTTGGTTTCGGTGAGACTCATGTGGTCTCGCCGCCAATAAGCGTTCGGTTGTTGGTTGATGCGTCTCTGTGCTGGCAGCCAAGATAACAAACCAACAGCAGCAACAACAGCCTGTCGTTGCCACGTCAGTACCCACTGCAGTTTCGTATAAATGGAAATGCATCATGCCAAGATAGCGGCCAACTAGAACACCCATCGCCAGCCAAGGTTTCCATTGACTATACCATCCAGGACGGAACCAAGTGTTGGGCCCAGGATCGTTCCGAAGGAGTAGAAAGCCATTGACCCAGGTCTTTCTCCCGGCGCGTAATTAGAGGTCTGCAACCACGGCCCTTCCAATGGCCATAGGAGCGCCCCCGAAACAGCTCGCCAGGAAATGGAAAGTGATCAGATTTTCCAAGCTGTTGCTGCGGGCGCACTCCACCGTCCAACCGAGATAAGCAGTGATTTACAAAAGATATATGCCGACACGCCTGCAATGGTCGGTAAGCGGCGCCAGAATGAGGGGTCCCATCCATGTTGAACCCAAGAATGCAGACTGTCACACGGAAAGAGCCGAGAACCTTACCACTCCCATCTGGGCGAAACATTTGCAATACTTTCGGAACACTGTATGCCAGCATCATCGATACAGGGAACCTGAACTTTTGTCAGTTCAACACACTCAACAGCCAGCCTTTCGGCATTGATTGTGGACAGTAGGTATACGTGAGAAATTCGCAGTATGCCGCTGAGCCCACAATATACCATTTTCGTGATCTTTGGCATGCTGTTGGGTTTCTGCTAGACGCTTGCTGGCCTTCGTGTTCCTTAGGGGTAGCGCAGAGGTGATCCTGCGACTTGGTGTCACTCGTGGGGGAGCTATCCGCCATGATAGACGGCAGCCTGTTGTACCAATCCAATAGCACTAGATGTTGCCTCAAATGCCTTGAAAAGTCCAAGCGGGTGTTCGAACTATTTATTTCCCGGTGACGAGGCAAGAACGCTATTCAACCTTGTCACAGAATGCGGCCAATGGTAAATCAAATCCGGGTTTTCCACGGCTTTTGTGCAATTATATATGTCGCAAGAGAGGCCGGTTTGATATACTTGTGGATGTGATATCTCATGCAGACACACATTGGCATAATATATGTCCCACCAACCGGTGAGAGTGGCACAGCCTGCTGTTCTGATGACGAGCGTGCGAGCTTCTTACTGGAATTAATGTGGCGATTGTAGGTATGAGGGAAAAGATATTAATCCAACGGCATAATATAAGAGCACGTAATTAGGGACACCCATGACTGACCACAAGGTAAATTGATAGGCTGCTTCCAGGTACTCTCACTCACGTGGGATAGCAGCAACGAGGAGTTGAAAGGTCTCATAAGATATGACAAGCCCCAATCGGTATTCAAGCCCCAAAATTCACACCTAGGAGGCTCCACAAGGAATATTGTCTTTTTAAAGTCACCAACTTGCGGTGGATGAAAATAAAGTCCTCTAATGACGACGCCAGCGGTTCCCAAAGCAGAAATAGTGGCCAGACCAGACGCAAAGCCCCGGTAAGTCTCGAACTCACGTACATATGTCCCACATATTTTAGAATGATCTCATCAAGAATAATCCTGGTCCCTGGAATAGGAATATCACCACCGGTAGAGGAATGGGGGTTCCTAAATGGTGTTCGAAGCGAAGAGCTGTAAAACCATGTAGGTACCGGATATCTGAGCAATGCTTGCGGTGTTTTTTTTTGCTGAAACTTGACTTTTCTCTCACAGATACCGATTTTTTTTGTGACGCATAATTTAGGTGGCATTGCGGTGAAACTTGTCAGTCATTCAAACTATCTCCTTGTCATCTGTTGCTTGGGCACTCACGGATAGAGAGTAACCTATATAAGCTCTATCGCTACTTAATGCGAGAAATAGGGCGGACACCAGAAAAACAGTCTTTTGTTCTCCAGGACCAAAAGACTTCCTCCAAAACGATGCCGCCGCCGTACTTGCAATTGACAGTCAGGGGGGTATAATTATTGGAACCGAAATTTGAACCTCCTTAGACAACTCTTCAATTTACAGAACAAATTCAATTGCAAAGAAAAACTTGATTTCGGACGGATGACATGAACCTTTAGCCTCAATTCGACAGGTCATCCCTCTGTTTCTTAACAGAACTTACCTGAGTCTCCCTTGCCGTTCGCTTTTAAGTGTCGAGAATGGTGGCCAAATCACCCCCATAGAGAGCCGCAATTGTTATTGCTCCTTGGTTTGCTTAAGAAAATCTCTTTTTAGAATCCCTCCCTGACGCATTTTTTGGTCCACGTGTGGGTTGCAAATAACTCCACTCATGATTGAACCATCTGTTCATCGTCGATCCGGTTCACATCGATGACTACTAACTTCACTCAACAACAGGATGGGACGCATCGGCCGGTATCCGTTACCTTTACTTGCCGGGTTCATAGTTTTCCAGACTGATGTTGAAAGCTATCATTTTTCTTTTTTCTTTGATCAATGGAAATCGGCTTGGGATGGTCGTCCTCAGGAGCCATTGGGGTTGCTCATCGTATTCACAAATTGTAAATCTGATAAAACACAGAGTTTGAGGATAGCATACATTCTTCTGCTTAGATGTTTATTGAAACTCCATACCAACCCTCTGTTATGCGTCAGATCATGTTCATGACGTATGATCCCTAAACTTGTTTAGCAAAATCCACTCATGGGGTTACAAGATATCACCTACGATTCGAAGCTCTCCGACGTTATTTCTCGGCAGACATCGGATTCTGAAGAGGCTTGACATTGGCGCTGGTTCCGTCCACCACGACAATTTCACCTCTTTTGACTCCGTACTCCACCTCGGTAGTGGCTCCTTCGGTGACCGCATCCTGGTTCTGAGGTGGCCAAGTCTTCTTCCATGGTTGAGACTTTGCGGGCTTCGAACAGTTCATCTTGATTGGATGTTATGAAAATTAGATAGAAGAATGGGTTTCGGTAGATTTTGAACCGTACTGCACTGAAGTGATGGGGCTTTTGGCTCCTTTGATATGAAAATCAGATGGTCACAGACCTTGAGCACGGATAATCTGTCGTTGAAAGGGGTACAGTGTGTCCACCTTCAGGTTCCTCGTATCAGTCTCGACGATATTGATTCCTAAGACAGATATTCCGATTGGAAAATGGACAACGGATCGAATCTGGAATGAGGTTCTTCCACATTCAGCACGGAAGGTAGCGAGTGTGTGATGAACGGAATATGGACTGATATCAATCAGCGTGCTAGTGCGATTTCGGAGTCCCAGAGCTCATGGCTTCTCACCGCTCTGCGATTATCCCTAAATACCAGCTCATCTACAAGGGTACATGGTACTTTCCCTTCGATATTACACCGCTTGATTACTCCGGAGCAGTAGCGGTTAATAAACCCCCGATCTGATGGGTGGGAAAATAACGAGTCATCTCCCGACCAGCAACTTGCCGCCATTGAATCAGCTGCACTACATGTAGCATTAAGGAACCTTGAGATTCGCTAGCTACTTGTATCTGTTTGATTTTGTTGAGCACTTTCAACGCCTTGTAACCCGACCGGTCAACCGATCAACGGCCACACCTGAAAGTAGGGAGTGAAACTAATTACGTATGAAGCCTGGAGAATCATGGAGATGCTGGTGTTTTGAGCTGTGTGTGTCAAGTGCGACTTTGAGATCGATGTCAATCCTTCATAGCGTCAATATGGGCTGGTAGGGTCAGTACATGGATAGAGGAAATAGGCCACAAGTTGAGGATCACGAGAGCATCTCGGTGTGCGTAAACTGTTGACCGAACGTAACACATAAACCAACACGTTGGCCTGGCGATCTGCAAGTTTTCACAGCTTTCTTGGCCATGCTGTATCAAGAGGCCCCGTTGCGGCCGCAAGACGATACGGTATGTCTTCGATTGGCCGAAATCGGAAGGAAAATTCTGGTATCTTGAAAGCAGGCGCCCGTGTTATCATTTTCAACATAAATCCTTACTCTTCCGACGTTGCCGATATCATCGAGGACTTTCTTCATTGGAGCCAAACCTCCCACATCTGTTGGCTCATTTGAAATGGCGCTGCCCTCACCCGTCCGTCTGACAGCGTACATGTATTTTTTAGCTCGCGACCCGAAGTACGAACACGAAAAGCCCTACACTCTTCGATACGTACCAAGCCCTCTAGACGGGATTCCCCAAAGTAACATTGACAGAGTCCAACATGAAGTCAAGGTCCATGACTTGCGCCTCCGGTCCTTAGACTACGACGAGTGTGGCTTCACGGTGGCCAACTGTCCATCCGCCCTGCAGTATGACGACTACGCAGACACAGATAAGATCGAGAAAATCCACGCTCTAGAGGTCATAGGTGCGGTGAGACTCGCATTGGCGGCCACCTCAGTCGATCTGCTCGACTACGTGGTCAGTACTTATCTGGAGTCGGGAAAGTTGGCGGACTAGCGAAGCAGGCTGTAGCTGACGTCAACTTAACGTACGACATAGGTGCGCCGGCGACATCCGAGCTGGCCAATTGCGACAGGTGGTTCGTACGCTTTCAACCAGCCTGCTTCCAGAGCGCATATCGGTCAGTTCTCACTTCACGGTACCCCGCTCCTGAGTCTCACTGACGTTACTTCGAACAGATCATACCTACGAAGGCGGAAGGGCCCTTATTCGAGAAACCTTTGGCGAGAAGGCAGAGTCAATCTTGGGAGGGCGTTGGCAATGTGTCAAGTAAGCCTTGATTTTAGACTCCCGTGTTCTCAACACAACATGACCGCAAGCCTCAACATCCAGACCCTTTTAAGCGTTTCACTGGCTTAACAGCTGCGGCATTCCGAAGCCTACCATCAGCTCGGTGCAGCCGAGACTCTGCCACGTTTCCCTCTGTACATGGATCACTCGGAACCACCCTTCTCATGCTGTCATTGGGCTAACTGTTGTGGCTTACAAGCGTGTGGCATCCTCTCCGAGGTCCTTTAGTCGATTGGCCTCTGGCAATGTGCGATGCTCAAACTGTCGACTTTGCACGCGATACGATGGCGGGCGACGTCGTCGATCGTGACCATGTTTTCGAAAACACTCAGATCCATTTCAACGCGAGGCAGACATGGTTCTTCCTCTCAAATCAGTTGCCGACGGAACTGATAATCTTCAAGAACGCCGACTCTCAGGAACCAATGGGGGCGACTCCAGGGGTTCCCCATGCCTCATTTGACAACCCCACCACACAAAAGGAGGACTTCAGAAGAGAGAGCATTGAAATGCGGATCTTGGTTCGATGGAAATGAAGAAGAAAGCTATGCGTGCCCACGGAGTTATTGCCTCTAAAGTCCGTCATCCCCCGTACAATGAATGCTGCATGTATGGTCAATCCGACTTCATGTCTCCCCAGTTAGTCTCGAAATACTCAGAAAGTGGTTGCAAAATCTCGCGGTCTACGTCTTCCGAGAAAGAATTTGCAGCCGTCGTGAGCGAAATCGCACCTGTTTCCCGAACCACTTCGCACTTCAAGCATGCCTCCACCACTGCCTGGTACGCAACACTTATCTCCTCCTGCAATATCTTCCGCTCCAGAATAGTCATGGCAGTGTCGTAATCCCTTGCATCCTGACTGTCCTCTGCAAGATCCTCAACATTCGCGTTGCCATATTTACGCACGTCTCTTAATCGAGAAAGCCTCATGCCCAGTGCCAACTCGATCAATGCAAACCCGAGCCGAATTAGCAGCGGTTCCCGAAGATACCGCCAGATTCCGGCTGGCTTTCCTGTGACTTTCCCCTCCGAATTTGGCGCAAAGATGGTGCGCGTTACAAAGAGTTGGACTTCCCTGGGATCATCATCCTTGACAGAAAAGTCGCTCCATGTCCACCATTTATCAATCCAAGGCGTTGACCAAAATTGAACAATAGCTAAAGCCAGCCTCTGGGCGATATCGACTCGCTTCTGGCGGGATAATAGCCACTCCTCAAATTCAGGGAGCTTCTCATCCAGAGGTGTCACGTGCTTGCCTGTTATTGCTGATTCCATGTGGCGTGCTGCAAAATGCTTGTCCCCATGGCCAAGTGTACCAACTGTTTGGCAAGATCTCCGAGGGTTTTTGACGTTCTTATCCAGACTTTTTACCAGATTGCACATGTCGTCAATTTCTCTCCCGTTGTCATTGGAGTCAGAGAGCGGCCGGTAGAACAACATTGGGAGGGCGCGAGTAGCTCGTCTTTCGTGAGATCCGCTGCTGGTGCTATTGTGACGAGATCGTGACCATGATGTCCGATAGTCGTCCTGCCTGCTACATTGTCAGCTCTTGGTAACAGCAGCATGAGAGGTAAGTCGCTCACCCTGGGCTCCTGCTGAGCTCCACCCTTTCAGGTGTGCCCACTATAACAGGCGCCGCATTTCGTTCAGTTCTATTCGGATCGTCCTCGCTTTTGATGTTGATGGCTGATGCCTTGGATATCGTAGGAAGCCGCGATTCCAAAGAAATCTCCGAAAAAGATCTTTCGGGTTGGTCACCGACATGAAAATATACTTGAAAGTGAGCGTCCCCATTGACATTGAAATCTGCCTCATGTCCTTCGCTACAGCTGCAATGATAGCTGTCTTCTAGAATTCGTGAGAAATCATTGATGTGCTTCGGAGCAACGCGTCTCGATCTAGACATGCTTGAACCCCGTCGTTTCCTACTTGGAGCAGAAAAGTTCCAGCTTGGCGTGATCCTGGGCTCTTCGAAAACCTGGACGAGTTGCTGTAAGTCCTTGTTGTGTTCTTTCAATCTATCGAATGATTTTTGGAACTCCGAATGAGGCATGTTCATTCTGATATGGCGCAAATGATGCTTCACCCGGCTCCGCCGCGTGCCGTTGAGTAACTAGCCTACAGTGAGTACGATGCTAGTTGATAAATCATACATATGAATGCCAACTCACTAGCTCTGCCTGGCCATTTTCAAGTTGGTTACGGAGACTAATCATCGACCTTTCGATGTGTTTCAAGACAGACTCCATCAACTCAAAGTCTGTCGGACCAAGACGGCTGCGCAACTTCCTTCGAAATGACGGTGTTTGCCAGGGTGAGGGATCGGATTGCTTGGCTTCGACGTTTGCATCGTCATTCTCGATAGTACTTTCTCCATGTTCTTGAACGAGCTGTCTTACACAGCCTTTGTAAATCGTCTCTTGAACCTCAATCTGGAGCAGAAACAATCCCCGGTCATCTCCTTCCTTAGCTGCCTTGTATCCTTTGACAAGACTCTCAATAATGGGCCATAGTCCGAGGACTAGTCCCACCGCCTCAATGCCTGACATTTCGTACTCGAAGCTTGACAAGTCGCACGTAAATTGAAAGAGAGCTCGGAGAATGTATGTTAATGAAAGCTACCGAGCCCATTAGGGTAAACGTTTCCTGCTTCATTTAAGATGAAGAGAGGCCTGTCAGCCGCAGCCTGATCGAGCCTTCACATGTGCTAGTACCCAAGTTCCAATAATCTACAGGGCTTTCAGTAAGGGTGGTCTAGGAGCGGGGTATGATCATCACACAGTCCAAACCCAAGCCACGTAGCCCTACTTTGGCCATTGACGTTATCTTTGGCACCCACGTTTCGCCTTGCAACAGTCATCCTCTCTCTCTCTCCTGCAAGTCAGCAGCACTTCCGTCAGTACATTACAATGAGAAAGGCAAGATTTGTACGCATGGAGACCAGTCAACTCTCTGTGTTCGCGGACTTTACAATTGCCCGGCATGCTGACTGCATCCAAGACTCAAATTTCGTATGTGCCGCATCATATGAGGGTGCCAGAAACATGCCATCTATTGGTAGGTTTCTACCTGCTTAAAGTCACACCACATATCCTGTTCTGCATGAAGCACGGTACTTTGCTGTTGAAGGATCCAAGCGTTCCGCCTCGCCCACCATCATTTTCGATCCCCGGCTGCGGTGTCCCAGGGCACTTTGCTTGGCGATTCTGCCTCTTCACTTACCAAGGCAAACGCACTCGGGAGTATCCTAATAATTTGAACTTTGATCTGCACCACTCTGTTCATGGGTCTTCGTTTAAGCTTTTTCGAAGTTCATAGCTTCAGATTTTCTCGATTGGTACAGCTTATCGCTAGCTCCGATAACCCTTTTACCTACTCATATTTCTCGGTAATAGGATGGAAAGGCGCCCTACATCAGTTGTGTACGCTGCCATGCGTTCCGGAAGAGATCGAAGGGCAGTTTCTGGAGAAAGAGCTTTGATAGCGGCCAAGTTCGAAGATTGTCGTGAAAACCTCCAAAGTGTCTATGCGATTTGCGACAATCTCAAGGCTGTTCATCCCGAGATCGATCTTGACATTGCTGATCAAGTATTGACATCGTTCAAAACTTGGGGCAACGACATTGGGGCCTCTAGCTATAATTTGGATCGAAGTCTGCGGCTGAATCAAAGACTTCGAGATCAGGTTGTTGCGCTACTAAAAGTCTTTCGAGATGAACTTCAGCAAGGTAGCATGCCACGAACCTCCACTTGGGTAGAACTTTGCCGCGATTACTGACACTAGATGATCTACAGACATCGAAGCTCTTCAGTTTCATGGATCCTACCAACAAAGGGACCCCGAGATAGTCGATGCCCATCTTGACGAACAGCTGGATCTAGAAAGTCCGCTGCAGCAAAGCGAAAGTACACTGATAGCTGCTGAAGTCCACGAGGTCTTCCTTTGTGCAGAAGAGTCACTGAAGCAGCTTAAGTCTCTCAATCCTGCTTTGAGAGAGGCCTATCCAGAGGATCTGGATGGCTGCTCGGGTAGCTCCAATGCTTCCGGCGATACACTGGATAATCCAGTACGCGAGCATGTGGAGTTGACTAGATCGATGTTTCCTGGCGCATCGAAAGTTTTGGTCGAAAGGCTCGGACGAGCCAACTGGAGACGACAACAATCCTTGCGCGTTTTGCGCGAGAGAAGGGCCATTGGTATCAGCACCAAGGTCAAGATCTCCAAACTTGGTCCTAGGCAGGGCCCCCGGCGCGATGTTGCTGTTGACGCTTTCAACTTCCAGCAGCCAGCCCTCAAGGTCGGCAGCGATCACACAAAGCCCTCAGTTCCTCGAATAGAGAAAAGTCTGGACGAATCATACAGGCACAAGTCCGTCTCTGGCTCTGACTACAGCAACTCTTCACGTGCAGAGACATCCGGTGCACCATCCCTGTTCTCCCGTCCCCATCTTTCTCGCGCAGCATCATCCACATCTTATGCGCAGTCCATGGCTCGAAAGCCAGATCTGACCGCTTCCTTCCATGCGCCTGAGCAACGACAAGTACCATTACCGCCCAAATCCTTGGATGGCCAACCCTTCACCTGTCCATATTGTTGTTTTGAGGTCAACCTATACAAAGAGCTCAAAACCACCGAAGATTGGGAAGCCCATGTGTTCGAGGACTTACTCGCTTATCTCTGCACTTTTGATAAGTGCGACTGGAGTCGTAAAGCGTACGGAGTGCGCGACGAGTGGTACCACCACGAGCTACGAAGTCATCTCATACCTCAAGTATGGAGCTGCGAATCTTGTCAGCAAGAATTCAAGACCAAGCCACACTTGGAGCAACATTTGTTAAAGTCTCACTCAAAAGACTTTTCACCGGATGAGGCTACTCAAATGGTGTCATTCTTGAGGCCTATTCACTCTCGCAAGTCCTTCTCGCGAGAAAGATGCCCTCTGTGTCCATCTCCGTTGGACCCAGCACAGATGAAGGAGCATATCGCGGAGCATTTAGAGCAATTAGCTCTGACAGCTGTGTATGGAGAGGAGTCTACGGAAGAAGACGATAGCGATGACATCATGTCGCAAAGCGCTAGCGATAACATGTCCGAACGAGGGACGAAACTCCGGCTCCTGCAAGCTTTTGCTGATGAGCAAGTCGCACATTTGGGAGAACGTCCGAAACCGGCCGAGGACATTGATGAAAACGATATCGATGATGTTTCTGACGAGGATAAACCAGCACCAAGCTTTTCAGGGGTGGCAGAAAGTGAATTACCCTCGGGTGCTTGGCGAGTACAGAAGTTGATGAATGTTGGCGCCCGCCTGAACCGCCAGGTCGAACAAGGCTCCAATCGATTCCTTCATCGGCCCCGATCTGATACGGACTCAACCTCGAGATTTCCGCTTGTCGAAACAAGGACTTTCCCCAAAGATGAAAATTTCAAAGGGCGTGAAAAGGAACTAGCCAATCTCTACAAGATCCTTTCGGAGCCCGGCCGAGTCTATGTACTGAGTGCCGAAGGTGGTATGGGGAAAACAGCTCTGGCCGTTGAGTTTACCCATCGGTATGAGCAGTCGTTCGAGTACATCTTCTGGGTTCAGGCCGAGACACAAGTCGGCGCTTCGGAAACTTTCAACCAGATTGCTCTCATGCTTGACTTAGCACCTCCGGGCACTGATTCGGAGGAGTTGACAAAATTTGGGCGAGAATTCCTGGAAAGTACCGAGAAGCGATGGCTAATGGTCCTCGACAATGTGGAAAGGTGGGATAATATTGACGGGTTCACGCCAATGAAAACATCTGCAACAACAGGAAGCATCCTCATTACCACAAAGCACCAAGAGCTAACAGCACCATCAAGGCCAATCAACTATTATCGCAAAACCCTTCAAGAGCTACCGACGGAAGAAGGAAGAGATCTTTTGCTTCACGGGCTACCCTCGGATCTTCGGCCATCGGCTCACTCCTTGCGAGACCCCGAGTACAAAGCTGCAGGGGATCTGGCAACTCTGGCCGGCTTACCTTTGGTAATTGTTCTCATCACCGGGTATATGAAGGCAATGAATTGTAAGCCGTCAGAGTTTGCTAGCTACTGGGACTCCTGGTGGATGGACAACAGTCCAGGTTCTGGGCCAGAAGACCAGAAAAGTACCAAAGGGAAGCTTGACACCATTATGAAGATTTCCACAGAGGATCTCAGCAGTGATGCGAACAAGATCCTCCGGATCATGTCTTTCTTAGACAGTGATGGAGTTCCAAAGGACCTTTTGGTCGTTGAAAAAGGTCAGAAATGGCCGACTTATCTACAGGCCTATAGGTATGAGCCCCAAATATCATGATCCTGAACTATTCAGCTGAATTTTCCCAGGATCGAACCAATTCTGAATCAACTGATATCCAAGCACTTTATTTCTGAAAAGACTCAAGAAGGCAAGAAAATGTACATCGTCCATCGATCGGTGCAGATAAGAATCTTCCGGGAGCTTCACAAGAAGACTCGACAAGCTGAAGAGCTCTTCAAGCTAACTGTAGAGCTGGTCCGTCGGCGACTCCCACGTCCTTCTTTGGAATTTCCGGACCAACAAAAATGGAGTCATTTCAAGGAATACTTGCCACATGTTGCAACCCTTCAGCGGATCTACTCAGACCAAAATACAGTGGTTGCTTTAACGCCATTCATCGAGCTTGCCGAGCTGTTCAAAGACGGCGGAGTTCTGCTGTGGCAGAGGTTTCTCCGGAATGATGCCATGCGACTTCTTTTAGCTGCAGAGAGAATCCTCGATCAGCTTGAAACCAATCACGACGAACTCAGAGCTGAGATACATGTCACTTTGAATCTTTTGCTTCAATACCTTGGAATTTCCCGCCGCAAGGAGATCAGTGAACGGTCAAAGAAGATCCTTGAGTTCAACCAAGATCGTGCAAGGCAGCTTGAAATTTCTGGGAAACTCAGCGATGTAGACAGAATCCGAGTCATCAACGCTTTCGCGGACTACGCCAATTCATTGCTCCAATGCAACGATTTCAAGGCGGCTGAGTCGATATACAAAGACTGCCATGAACGTTTGCTTACGATCACGTCTGAAGAGTCTGACCCTTTTTCCTTTGCAAAGCTTGCGCATCACATGGCTTATTGTAGTATGTATCGGCACGCCTTCAAGGAAGCCATTCAGCTCGCTGAGAGGGCTGTAGAGCTCATGGAGGTATTTGGCGACAAGTTGCTTGTCTTGCGGTTTCAGTTCGACCTTGCCTGCATCACACTACAGAGTGGTGACCTGCAGGGCTCTCTGAACCAGCACGAGATCATCCTAGCTGAAAGGATCAGACTACAAGGCAAAGATAGCTACTTCACTCTGCAAAGCCAGTATGCTGTAGGCGCATTGTACTCCTACCTAGAAAGATGGGACGACGCCGAGTGAGTCATGTCAATTCCGCTTCAGTCTTGGCTCAACTAATGAAATAAAAGATGGCAAATCACGAACGCCTTGCAGAAAGCCGAAGGTAAGCCAGGTAAAAGTGTCTGGCCTGATGCTGCGACTGCAAGAGCCAAGTTCCATCTATCCCAGATATTGAAAGCGCGGAATGGTGGCGAGAGTTCAAAGGACGCAGAAAAGCTGGCCCAAGAAGGAAAGGACGTATTGTCAAAGTTGCTTGTTTATGATGACATATACGGAGTCAAGGAGGAAGACACAGGTGCATTATTCGATCATTTGCAGCCGGTTTTCGGAGGACGCTGGACCGGACTGAGTCTCTTGAAGTACGTATCGAAACCAAGAGCAACCAAGTAGGTTTGTACAGCGAAGATATGTCGTTACCAAGGGCTTCTATTTCTCGGTTTAGGTGGAAACGTCTCGGTGTATAGTCTGCATTTACTTTCCTCATGGACTTGCGAGGCACCATTACTGGTAAGAGCTTGTGAACGACAGGGTGGCAAAGACATAATGAAGTAGAATATCGCAGCATGATAGACATCTTATTGTGCCTCCATATGACTCTCGTTCGCCGAGGAGCGCGGATTTACCAAAAACCTGTAGGGTGCGCAGCAATGTAGATGCAGCAAAGATCTTCTGCAGCCCCTTACAACGGCCTCGGAGAACCGTCCCGGCCTTCCCATGCTCCTCAAAGCTTACTCAACCAGGGGAGCATGTGACTATGGATTCGCCAGCAGCCAGCATACCGGCTAACAGCCGCAGCGTGTGAAGTTCTTCATGCCAAGGTCCAAGACTTAGACCGACGAAAGCGCTTGCACCACAGGTTTGTCCTATCCCCAATCCTCCAGTGCATCCACATCGAGGCCCTGGAGTGGGTCAAGGGTGTCAATGTCAGGATAGCATGCAGTTGGCACATCAATCTGAAGGTAGTCTAGGACTCCAGTATGCATTCCTCCTCTGTGGCTCATGTCGCCAAATTGTGATCTCCACTCTCCCAGCCCTTGTCCTCGTCCCTCGTCTGTGCTTCTCTCGAGCAAAGATGAGATGGAAAATGAAATTAGCAGAAACGAGAGAGAAGTACTGTCTCGGGAGGTTCGTTGTGATTAGGGCTGTGCAAATTCATGTAATGAGTCGAGTAATCGATTCCCGTTAAAAACAAACTCCATCAAGGACAGGCGGAAAAGTCAGGCCATGTCTATCAGGGATGTCCCCCGAACGCCCTCGCTTCTTGCTCCGACTCTAACTTGAGACGAACCCGCTGCCAGTGGCCACATGCGAAGTAACTCGGTCTGTTCCGAAGGAGAAGGCGCCAAGTCATTTCCCACGATGCAAAGTATTCTTGCAGCCCCCCTCTGTCTAGCCCTCGGTTAGACAAATGCAACCCCAGGGCTGAGAGACCCCTTGTCTAGCGTTGTCCCTAGTCTGCGATGGGATGATCCTCCGGCAAGGAATCTTGCCTGGACACCACGATGCCGAAAGCCGGATTGGGCGGATTGATCAGATAACGAGAGTGGTGGGGTAGCAGAGCGGATCTGATAACTTGACTTGGGTCCATGGGCAAGAGCGCAATTCGGCAACGGACTTCAAGTTGGGTCTGTGGCGTCTACGCCACCAAATCCAAGCGAGGCAATGCGTGATATTCCTGAAACCCGTTCATCGGCGAGCTGAATGAGGTGTTCAGAGACCGTTGAAGGTGCCTCGAGTGGATGTAACATGCGCAACGCAAGGCAGTTAGGTAAAGCACATCCACTAGGCCCAGCGTTGGATCATGGTCAAATGTCAAAGGCTTGGCAACAGAGCTTGGCAACAGAACGGCTGGAAACGGTTCCATAGACTCGTTTGCTATGGGTCAATGGCCTTTTGCTAGCTTGGTTTTCTTGTCTGCATAAGTTCATGGCTGTCCCGCCCTATTGGGTGGGTGGGATCGATTCACAAATTTCGTGGCAAACGCTGCAACCATCAAGACTTGGCTGGAAATCCCCAGGGTCTTGGGTTTGTCAGAGCGGGGGAATAACACGAGGGTGCGAGCAGACTTTTGCTGCTAAAATTGCGGATCTGATAACTCTAAACGAGTCTGGACGTGTTGCAATGCTGCCGAAGTGCTCGCTAAGCTGGGACCTCATCGGACCACTGGCATGTCTCTTGGAGTATCCGTACCAACCTGGTCCACGTCGAAGACTTCAATCTCCGCATTGTAGAAACTTGTCCGAAGTTCGATTGCGCCGCGAGGTTCTATTCGCCGGGGCGAGACAGCGTTGCCTAGCTAGGTCACGAGGAGATTCCGCACCGGGCGAGGCAGGGGTTCGACTTTATGGCCATCTCATCCTCGATCGGAGGAGTTGGAGGGTCCTTGGGCAGAGGGCTACATAGGCAGCCAAAGGGGCATATATAAGTCCTAATCAAGTCCTAGGTCAGGATTATCGCTCTCGTGAGACGCCCAAGATCATTCTATTCTGCAAATTCTCACTGCTGCTTTGGGTGTCTTTCGTGTGTACATACACATATTGTCAAGCTCTTCAATCCTGCTCCCCTACATCAGTCAACATGGGTTACGCAATTCTGCCAGCGCTGATTCCCGACATCGAGAAAGTGTATGACTCCTATTTCAAAGCCTTCACTGGTGACGAGATGGGAGAGATCATGGTCAAAGTTCTGTTTCCCAACGGCATAGACTCTGAAGAGTTCCGCAAGGCGCACACGGCTGGCACTTTGGCTTGGTGGCATCATAGCAACTGCCAATACACCTACAAGTGTGTCGATACGGAGACTGGTGAGATAGTCGGCATGGCCTTGGGAGACATCTACCTAAAGGAGCGGACTGAAGAGGAGCGCAAGAATCATGGTGTTGGCTGGCTTGAAGGCAAGGATAGAGAGCGTGCCGAGGCTGTTCTCAACCCCCTGCATGAGGCTAGAGAGAAGCTGTTTGGCGGGCGCCGCTACATCTGTAAGTCTACCGAACCGTTGGCAAAGGGACCCTGGCGAAACTGACTCGGCTACTTCCACAGACTCCCACGTTATTGCCGTCGACCCCAAGCATCAGGGGAGGAAGGCAGGCGCGCTCTGGTGTAAGTGGGGAGCGGAACTCAGCGACAGCCTGGGTCTCCCTCTGTACTTCGAGTCATCTCCTTCCACATACAAGCTGTACGAGAAGATGGGCTACGAGACTCTGGATGAGAAGATTGTTCACAGCGCGGAACTAATGGGACAGGCGGAAGACACAATTGTGCCCCTCATGGTCAAGATGCCTGCATGTGCAGGGGGTATGACTTTCAAAGAGTGGCGTGCTGCCGGATATCCCTCTTTCAGCGAGGTCGAGAGACTTCCGGCCGCTCCCGTAGTCGATACAATTGGTGCCGACAATAAGGCCAGCAATGGTGCCATGGCTGTGGAGGTCCAGGTCCAGGAGGTACATGTCTAAAACGGGACCTTGGTTGATATCGGCGTTCTAGCATGCTTGGAAATTCCCCTATTTGGTTAACGCAATCGACTATTGCAATGCTTATTTATCTAATCGTTGTCCCCTCTTTCGAACTTCCTTCGAAGGGTTTTCTGCATGCGAGGTTTGTCATGGAGAACCATGACTCGTTACGTGGGTGGCCCTGGTTCGACTCTCAAAGTGGAAATTAGGCTCCTGATCCGGGACAGGGGCACCGGCGTCGGCAAGATTCCATTGCTGTCGGTCGTACGGGGCAGTCGGGGCTGCACTTTTGCCGGCTTTGGGCTCTCGTACCGAGCCTGGTGCAGACAATTTTCTTCACCTGGACTCGAGGGCGGATATGCAAAGATTGCTCCTCCAGCGGAGACGGTTGTACGTAATAAAGCCTTACAATCGTCCCAAATTGTGGCACGTTCGTTGTCTTAGCGCCCAATCTCTTGAGTCACCAGGAAAGCCATGTCTTCCTTATGCATAGCGATACTTGACGTTTTAGGTCAGGTCGAGGCCGAGGTCAACACGAAAAGCCCGAGGAGCTGCCTGTTTTAAGTCCGCCTGCGTGACAACTGTCAAGTAAATTTGACAGTTCCGGGGATAGCGTCGGCCGATGCGACATCGGTCATTTCAAAGCCGATTCGTCTGGCGACTGGTAACGCACACAACGGGCCAGACGGTTCCCATTTCGATCTAATCAGATGCATCTGATAAGTAGTGAGACCATCCGCCTAATCAGATCTTGTCATGACCACACCTCCCTTGACTGTTTCCCCAAAAAGCCCGCAGACTCCGAATATTGCCGTCATGTTAGACCAGGTCAGGAAGGCCGTCCTTTTCGTGAGGCTTGTGGGTTACACACTGCGGCTTTATGCGGACTTTTTTTCTCGCTCTTACACGACCAAGAAAATCTCCGCCGGATCCGCACCGAAAAACGGCGAACCGATCAACATCGTGGTCATCGGCGCTTCTTTCGCCGGTTATCATGCTGCTAGAGTGATTGCAACCTCTCTTCCTACAGACGGCCCGTACCGACTCATTATTGTCGAACCAAACCAGCATTGGCAGTTTACCTGGACGTTGCCTCGCTTCTGTGTCATTGAGGGACATGGGCATAAGACATTCATCCCCTATGGCCCCTATTTGCCCGCGGGCTCGGAGAAGATCGTACGATGGATCCATGATCGCGTATCGACAATCACCGAGAATACGGTGACGATCCAAGGCACAGGGGAGAAGGTTCCATACTCTTACTTGGTCATCGCGACCGGTTCCGGCGCTGGGATGTCATTGCCGTCAAGAGTAGGTTCAACAGACAAAGTTGAAGGAACCAGACTGCTGCAGAACTTCCAGCAACGCATCAAAGCCGCCAAGAATCTCGTGGTCGTTGGTGGAGGAGCTGCAGGCGTCGAACTTGCCACGGACGCCAAAGATCAGTATCCCGATAAGAACGTCACGTTGATTCATTCGAGAGACGCAGTTATGAACCGCTTCGGTCATGACTTGCAGGCTGGAGCTCTCAAGGGATTGAAGGACCTCGGTATCGAAGTGATTCTGGGAGAGCGGACAACATCCGAAACGCCTGTGGATGGTTTCGTCACTCTTCGCTCCGGCCGTAGAGTTGAATGCGATTTCATGGTAACCCAAATCTTGAAGTTGAAGTTTCCGTATCACGTTTTGACTAAGTATTTTCGTGTATCTAGGTGAACGCCATAGGCCAACAGCCTTCCTCTCAGCTAATTAGCAATTTCGCCCCTGAAGCTATTGCAAAGTCAGGCCGCATCAAGGTCAAGCCTACAATGCAAATCGATGTCGATTCGCTGCCGCACATTTACGTGTGCGGCGATGTTGCTGAGGCGGGTGTCGCCAACCCCAACGCTCGAGCTGCTATGAAACAGGCCACCTACGCCGCGGACAACCTCGTTCTTGCCCTTCAGTCGAGAACACCTTCAAACATATATGAACACTATTGGGCTGACGGAGTCATAAAGCTTACGCTGGGTCTCGTGAGTCTTTACATGAACGGTTTTCGGAAGCATCCGTATCTAACGCGTCACAGCATAAATCCATCACGGCCTTCGGTATCGGGGAAACGGAGCTGCTCTTCCGCGGAAAAGAGAAGGAGATTACTCTCATGATTGATCGTGCTTGGACGAACATGGGAGCTAAGCCTTACGAAGACAAAAAGCATGAGACGGGAAGAGCAGAAGGCAGCTTTGCTGATAAGGCTCTCGAAGTAGCAAATGAAACCGTTTGATAGTCGACAGCTAGCCCTTGGAGGCTTGTTCTTTCATTGCCTACATGTAGGTAAAAAGACGCTGCTTCACGGTTCAAAGCTGGAGAATGCGGGCAAGTATAGTAGGGTGTCCAGGAACGGCACTTGCAACGTTTGATACTTCCAGCGACATAGTTAGATAGGCCCGTCATAGGCTCCGCCTTTCCAGAACGTCGTACGGTGTGATATCTCCCACTTGATGAGTGAGACAATACCGAAACAATGCCAGTCCCCAAATCGTAGTTTATAACCCGCGAAGCCCGTCGGCTCTAATCGGCCTACAGATTTGCCGATCAGTCAAGAGCTAGGGACACTATGTAGGGATCATTTCGGCTGCAGGAGAGTCTGATGCAACCTCTCGGTTCCTCTTGTTGACAGGTTTAGAGAGATTTTACTTTCTTCAATTGCGATCATAGGAGGAATATTCTTGGCACCAACCCTGACATGAGGTTGCACATAGTTTTTCGAAGACAGCTCTGAATCCACGGTTGCGCCCTATCCCAGACCGCTCCTTGAGATCATTTTAAGTGTTCAATGTCAAAGTATTAAAAACATGTGTAGCGGTCCAAGGTTTCTAGAAGTTGGAAGCAAGAGTCCCGTTGACGAGGTCAAATACTGAAGGTTCAATTTGTTGCTGCCTAGATATGCTAATCGCGGCGTTGTAGTCACCGTTGCCTCCGGCTGAGACGGCCCGGATTACCGTACTTGCACTAACTGGCGGGACTGATACAGCTCGCTAGGATTGATTGATACAGCGATTGCAATATGCGGCCAGTTATTTCAACTTAATCACCTTGATATGTCGAGAGATCGCATCAATTCTCTCAGAGGTCGGATCCGAAACATGTGGTCACCATCCCGAGGTCTCCCTTGAGTCTTCTACTCACTTACGTAAGTATTAGTCAATACTAATTATCAATGACTTAAAATGCTTTTATTCCCATGATCTGTATACCCTCGCCTACAGTGAGTGCGAATTCTCGCCGTGCATGGATCTAGACCCCGGTCAGGCAAAGGCCCAGAGGCATATGAAACAGGAAATCAGGTTAGTCCCAAAGCTCTCTCTTTTCAGCAAAATGAATTCTTTCCCACAACCTCATCAGTCGTCGCCTGCTGTATCTATGACTTCTTTGAAACAGAATCCTTGGGCCTTTTGCCGTTGATGTACTCCCATAGCCTGCTCTTTTGACATACCCTGTGGCCTTCGATGTCGCAACGGCCGTTTCCAGCTTTCATGCGCTTGTCCATAAAGGACTCCATCGGCGGCCTGCCCTTAGTTTCTACGACGCCAGTCAGGGTTTTGTTCAAGGGGAAAAGCCTGTCGAGGTAGTGCTGATTGAGCAGATGACCCAACACGTTAATCTCGAAAAGCAGTCCAGCAAAAGTGTTTTGTCTCTTGTCCAGGCGTAAAATATCATCCACTATGGGCAAGAGGGGATGCCTTCCATCCGTTGGCTCGGGGTTGCTCTGCTCAGCAACCAGAGACTTGAAGTGGATAACCCCCCATTGGGATACAAAGTCTCCAGTGTTGCCGTAGTGCTCAATGTGCCCAAAAACGTGTTCTTTGAGAGACGATTCGGGATCGTTGAAGTGGTTGGCAGCATTTCCGAAAGTGTAGATCTCCAGCTTATGCAAGGTCTCTCTGCGGTAATTGGAGAGAAGCCAATCAAGGATGATACTGCCCTCTAAGCCACCCTGAGAGTGTAGGATCAGAACGGTTTTGTCTTTCTTCTGCGCAGGGTCCAGAGCAGCTGTGATGAGCGCATAGCAAGTTCTGGTGTCCGAGGTACCAAAGTAAAAGCATCGCTCTAAGAGACACTGGATGAGGTCAAAGATTATTCCAGCCCTGTGACATTATGACTTAGTAATTAGCATCCCTAAGATCAGAAATCGGGTTTGCTTACGTTCTATTGTGGACACCCGTGATGGGACGTTGAAAGGTCCGCGATAGTCTGTTGATGTTTCCCTGCAGCCAGTGCGAGCTAGCCTTTCGTTAGAAGCATGGTCAGAGCATGTAATGCGATCAAAGTACACTTACCCAACAGATACGCCGTTCAAGAAGATCCATTCTTCGCTATAATTCTCGTTCGGGTCCAGGGACTTCCAATTAGCCGCCTCGGGCCACAGAGCATGCTGAGATTTGAGCAAGTTGTTCTCGGTACCGGCATTGAGCTGTAAACAAGCGATATAGTTGAAGAAGATGAATCCGCCGATGTAAAGGACGAATAGTTGGAATGGGAGGGTGGCGAGGAAAGGCAGCGAAATGAGGAAAGTGAGCTGCGTCACGATGAGGACTCCATGCACGGCAAGACACCAGAGGTTTCCAGCCGAAGGATAGAGCTCATCCATCTCGCCGGAGGGATAGTAGGGATCGACAATGCCCTGGAACCAAGTCTGGAAGGCTGAGATGGTGCGGTCAACGGGGCCCCATAGGAGCCATTTGGGCACCCACGACTTGTCGAGCTTTGGATAGCTTACTCCTTCTCGCCGAGGATACCATAGGGGGGAGATGACGAAAGGAATGAATCCGATGCACCTGATGAAGAGCACCAAGTCGTCCCAGAGGAGCCGCCATGGCGGTGCGGTGTAGTATTCGGGCAGCGTGGCTTTGATTTTCTCGTTGTCGCCAGATGGCGAGGGTGCCGAGCTCGCGACGGCCAGCGATGTAGTGAGGGGACGCTTGGTTTTGTCAACTGACTGATATACGTTGACGAAGCCTGACGAGATGTTGTAAGCCGCCATGGCGAGCGTTATCATTTGTGGACGTGACGCGGTCTGCAATGACGGACAAAATCACCAGGTGTAGGTTTGGAATGTTGAAGGGTTCAGACTAGGTACCAAGGTTGACGAGAATTTGGGACATTCGCTTGCCTTTTGTACCTCCTGCCCGCCTGCCCTCTTGTGTTTGGGAAATAGGGATGCACTGGCAGACTGGCCCGCCGCCCTGCCGCCCTTGGCACTAGCGGGAGAGGCTGACGACAGTCCATCAGAAGAAGCAATTATTTCTCAGTGCACTCAATCACTTGGGATCGTAGCATTCAGACTGTCTCTCAGTCACATGCTCTTACTTTGTCCATCTATTGCACACGACCTTGTTGGTTGAATCTGACATAAGAAAGCCATCTATTGGCCACTATCATCTGAGTTGCCTATCTCAGCCATGCGGTGGCACGCAAATCACAGCGAGCGACGAGCGACCAGCGACGAGCGACCAGCGACGAGTGACGAGCGACCAGCCTGCCACGCGCGGCACATCCCTTGGAAGCTGAGCTGCATAATGCCCGCCACTTGTCAGCCCGGCATCTGAGTCTTATGGGTCCCGCTCGAATCCTTGCTGCTGCACCCTTTGTTTGCCTTCTTCTGGCGGGAAGAGTATAGGGGCACAAGACAGGCTGCCAAGCCGCATTCTCTGTTCCCCCTCCAATTCATGTTGCTACTGGTACGTGTGCCACGGATCGTCCGTCTGACGTACACTTGATACACATGTACGTCTCGATGTCTTGCGTCGAGATATTGTAGAGCTCATTACAATGCAGCCAGACGTTGTTGCCTTTTGAGGCCAACTTCCTTTGGTGTTGATTTCGCAGATGAGCTTCGATGCATGTGATGAGGTTATCTTCCACTCGCATCTTCCGGCTCGTGCTCGCAAGCACTTTTCCTCCCAACTGAGTCCAGGAGATGGTTTTTCTGACGTGGTTGCCGGTCTTGATAATGGCTGCTGGCTTAATTTTTTGATGTCGATGCCCTTTAGGAGTGAAGCCTTGGTAGTATTCTCCATCAGGCGCTCTTGATTGCGATCGTAAATATTGAACTTGTCCGCCAGAGGAGGCAGACTTACTGACGTGGTGCGACAGGAGGTGGAAACTGGGGCCAGAAGGAAGCCGGGATTCCGAAGCCCGCTTGGCCAAACCACTGACCTTGCGGCTGATAAGCAGGAGGATCTTGCTCTTCGAGATCCTCGGAAGTGTCCGATGCGCTCTCCTCGTCGGCGGGTTTGGCGCTTCTCTTGGCCCTCCATACACTGTATAATATTACTGCCAAAATACTGCCGAGCAAAATAGGTCCAAACACTATAAGATCGGATGGTATCTTGATGCCCATAGTGATGGATTTTGAGACGCTTCGAGTTCTTGCGTTGTTTATGGGCTGTAGATTGTTGCTGTACTGATCGCAGTGATGTTTGTGCGGAACAATGACGAGTACTTTATGTATGCCAGAAAGTTGGAAGATGATCAACGTTCTGATGCGAAAGACGAGATTCCAGTCTGTCTAAACACCACACTGGCGGATAAGTTGGGCATTTACATAGATCTTCCTGCACGGTTTCGGAGATACCATTGCTTCTAATATGGGCAAGTTGATAACGGAGAGAGTTCCCACGGTCGCTGTGCTTGAAGCACTTGATGCCAATCAGCCAAGGTACAGACAAACCTTATGAGAAACCTCAAGCTGGCACTATTTTTCGTCGGCTTACCCTCGCACTCCTTCCTCTGTGTATCTAGCCTCCTGTCATCCATCACCGTCTGTGGCCTGCCCTGCACCTCTCTACGACCTTGACATGCAGCCTTGGTAGAGATGCGCAGGTTTCGAGTCCCTGGTCGTCAAAGCTTGTCTTCCATGTGATGTACCCTGCTACGACGTTGAGTCAAGGATTTCATCAAGGTCATTTCACCAGGGACTTTGCGGAATCATGAAAACCGATGGGTAGCACTGCATCCCTATGGCCTTGTTGGTAAAATGAGGCCCTCAAGCAGACAAAACAAAGTCACAGGCGATAATGAAGAAATATCATTTCTTTCGTGATTCTATACAGATGGGATAGCACGAGTCTTGCCCCGACGCGCATCCCCACTTCTCACCGACATTCGGTTCCGGAGGCGGGGCCAATCGGACACTGGTAACGGGCCTCCCACGGAACACGCTGTGACTTGTTTGTTTTCTTTTGCTGCATTTAATGATAATTTAGCACAGGCTTGACCTCGTAATATGACCCTAATCTAAAACGCGTACCGAGGCATCCCTGCCCGCGCGGGGTTTGGGAACCGAGGATCGTCCTCACTTGGCCACGTCTTCTCCAAAGCCACATCTTCCCCAAAACAAGACAGGAGCAACACCTTCTTTTTCTGGTTCCGCAAAGATTAGCCACCAATCCCCTATTTCCCGCAAAATCAAGCAATCCGTAATATAGAGAGCACAAGAGCCAATATAGATACAACTCTCCCAACCCAACTACCGATCATCGTTGCCGAAGCTATGGCACGTTCAGATTCTTGGATACTCAGGGGCAGGATAATCTACCAACCAACTTCAGCCCAGCAAATCGCAACCTTCCCTTTATAGCCCTCTGACTTATCTCTTCGAACTCGACGGTCAACGACTTTCCCCTCTTGACAAGTGTTGCGTAGGAAATTAACTAGTCTCATGGATGTGACGATGCTTTACCAAGAGGTGCTTTGATCTTGGCATTGAGCCGAGGCCTGGACTTTAGGCAAGTCGCAGCGGCGGTTGAGACGAGACATCTCTGATCTCTGAAAAACACTCATAGAATTCATATTCCCTGTATATAAACAAGTTGCGGCCGAGGGTTTCTGTCTGTCTCTGCGTCTCCATCTAGAATAACCACGCAACACCATTACCATCCATTAACATTCGCAAGCCCATCAAGATGCACCCCCTTACTTTCTTCATAGCCGCCCTCCCTCTTGCGGGCCAGGTCAACGCAGCCCTCCAGCGTGTCACGAACTTCGGCTCCAACCCAACCGGTCTGACGATGGACATCTCCGTGCCCCCCAACCTTGCATCCTCCCCCGCCATCGTCCTCGCCCTCCACGGCTGCGGCGGCTCCGGCTCAGCCTACTCCCGCCAGGCCGAATATATCCCCCTCTCGGACGCCAGAGGCACCTTTGTCGTCATCTACCCGTCCTCTTCCCGGGACTTCAACTGTTGGGACGTTGCCTCCACCGCCAGCCTGACCCGCGGAGGGGGCGGCGACTCGACGGGTCTCGCTAACATGATCCGGTACACCATCAGCCAGTACAACGCCAACCCGAGGCGTGTCTTCGTCACGGGGAGTTCCTCGGGGTGCATGATGACCAACGTGCTCTCGGCCACGTACCCGGACCTCGTCGCCGCCACTTCGTGCTACTCGGGAGTCGCGGCGGGATGCTTGGCGGGCTCGCCGGGTTCGAGTCCCATCAGCGCCGATCCCAAATGCGCAAATGGGCAAATCGTGAAGACGGGCGAGCAGTGGGCGGCGCAGGTGCGCGCCATGTATCCCGGTTACAACGGGAGCTACCCGCGCGTGCAGACTTTCCATGGCACGGCGGACTCGCTGGTGAAGTACCCTAACTTGGCTGAGCAGCTGAAGGAGTGGTCTACCATCCACAGAGTCAGCTTCACGAAGAACAACACCAATACGCCCCTCGGTGGTTACACGCAGATGATCTATGGCGACGGGACTAAGCTTGTGGGATACTCTGCGCAAGGCGTTGGACACACTGTTCCAGTTCAGGAGGACCAGGACCTGAAGTGGTTCGGCTTGTAGTAGCATTCATTATCCAGTGAAAATGACTGAAAAAGGTGTTGAAGATTAAGCGGGTATTGATGGGATGCGATCTGTACAGCGCAGATGTGGAAGCAGGCGCTAAATTTCTGCCAGATACATGGAGTAAACAGTTTCCGCAGATATACAATGCAAATGGGCTCTCCAAAGGACACTAGAACATTTCCCTGAAGTGGAAAAAGACGTTGTCCACGTATGGGTTCGACACAGCAGTAGTTGTCGGGGGTATGCTACCGTCGGACTGGCCACCAAAACCATCGTCACCCGTAGATGCGAAGCCATTGAGCCCCAGATATCCTTCGAAAATGCGACTCATCTCGTTTTGGATGCGAACTCCGTTGTTTGGTGAGTGGGCCGTATCTAAGTTTGTTGTTTGCTGCTGGGGTATTGTTGGGGTCGTGGATGGTCGTCCGAAAGGCGCGATGGCAGCGGGACTGTTCGGCAGACGTCCACCGCTTGCAAGTCCGGCCATCGTCAGAGCCGCGGAGCTGTGCGCATCCTCGTCTGGCTGGTTGCGAAGGCCAATACTTGGCGCAACTTCCTTCAGTGAACTGATTGTACGCCATAGCCGCTTCGAAACCCAACTCTTGGCGGAGAGGTCTTTGACGAGCTCCAGGGCCATGTAGAATTCCTCGCGGCACGTGGGGCTGAACCTCACTGGAGCGTGGACAGAAGCCAGGAAGAGAACGGAGATTGCCGAAGTCAGGAACTGGTGATAGAATACCTGTATCTTTCGATACAGATTCGTGGTGTTGTTGAGATGGCTTAGATAACGAATCGTGTCTTTTGCAAGGTCAACAACACGTTGAGCTTGGGCAAAGTGACTCATGATGCTAGTAGCGCTGTGCAGAATTGGCGTATACAGCCATATACGAATCTGAAGACAAGTCAGCATCAAAATTGTGGCCGGAGTCTCTATTACAGCGAGACAAACCTGGTTAAACCGAAGATATGTCCAGATGCGCAGGCGTTGAAGGTTGTATGATGGAGTCGAGGTCATTTGCTTCTCCTTATCCCAGTTCCGGAGCTTGACTTCTTCTGGCACATTCTCATACCATTGAAGGATCTCCTGATCTAACCGCTCCATGTCTTCATGGCGGAGCTCACGGGCTAGGACAGGGCCAAAGTCCGTGACTTGGCGCCAGACCTTGGCACCCAACCTCGAGTAGCTGATCATAGCAACCAGGTACGGATATTCTTCCTATGAGATTCTCAGAAAAGACACGCCTAGACATATCGTGTTGACATGGGTACTCACGGGCATGGGGAGTTCTGGATCAATCTCTTCGTCCGGAACTACAAACGGCAAGCCGGTGTTGAAAGCCCACCGTCGGTCCAGGACGTATGCTGACCAGAAACTGTTCAACGCATTCTTCCTGTCTTCTTCGTTCTTAATTTTCGCGATGCCAGTCGTCCTGTGGATGCCCATCTCCAAACACAGCCTAGTGACTTGGCCCATGACGCGCCATGCTAGGATTTCCTCGTTGGCCAAAAATCTGTAGCCAGCGAGAAGAGCCAGGACCGGGAGACTCACAAAGTCGACTGCCTCGACCATGAGCTTCCGGTTGAGTACGGCGTCCATGCTGTCAATCAGCTTGCAAGCTTTCTCGCTGTGCCCGTGCTCCTCCACGACGAGAGCGCAACTCATAACAATCTTGAGCTGCAGTGTCTTTTCATCATTGAGACTGGGTGTAAGGCCTTGCTTTCGGGCCGAGTCCATATAAGCCGTCAGGTGACGGACGTGCTCGATGACTGACGGTATCTTGATGACAGGATACATTATGCCAATCTCTTCGTCATGTAGTCGACATAAGCGAATCATTTCGTCCTTGCCAAAGTCCCACAAGGGGTCGATTTGACTTTCCTGAGGAGGCATACGAAAAGGACTGTCCTCAGGTACCCCCAGGGGTGTACCTTGTTCGTCCTCCCCAATGCCCTTGTAGCCCATATTGTGAATAGTAGTATTGGCGATGTCAAGACTGAAGGCCATACTGGTGGGGCCACGAAAGGATGCCTGCTTGGGTTGGGTCAACTCAGGCCGGTGGAGGGGAGACAGCGAGCTCGCCGGGGAGGCCTGAACTGTGCTTGAGGGGAAAGGTAATACTTTGTCCTGGATGGGTGCAAGACGCAGAGTTTCGGAACGGAGTGCATTCATGTTCTGGTAGAGGTTATCGACCTGCTCCTGCAAGCGGGTCATCTGCTCCGCCATGGTCTTGTATTCGTCCGAGTCCTTGAAGTTATTGGAGCAGCAGTTCGGGGCATAGAGGCACTGCAGGTTGAGATTGCCGCATCGTTGACAGGGAGTTTCGCCATTGCACTTGATTTTGCGCCTTTTACACTCGTTACTATGATAGGGAGAGCGTGAAAAGAATTAGTGATATTGTCTCTTCAAAATCAAGTTTGGAGACTTGGAGCTTATGGCAGGCACTGATTTGAGTAGCAATTGGGCTTAGGTTCCGCAACCACGGAGAGACGTTATCGCAGTGGCATTGGGCCGGACGCATGCCGAAGACATGACTGGGACGGATTTATCCTTACCAGGCAATGGATATGTACTAGGACAGCGGCAATTAGCTTTCTGGAGTTCCACAAAGTTTATAAATGGCATAGCACAGAGCAGAATGAATGTTTATAGGGAGGAGGACGAGGAGATGATGGGCAGATAGGGGAAAGACTGAACGGTGTTTAAACGGCGGAAAGACAACGCACCCGATTCCTCTTGCTTCTCTGCTGCTTGGCAGCATTGATCTCGTCTTCTGACTTCCTCTTGGAACCAGACACGGAGCTTGAGCCTGGCGTTCCGACTTGAGTTGCACCTCTGGAGGCCCCTGGTTGTTGTGCGGAATTGTCTCCGGGGGTCGCGGAAAGGGGGGAATGGACAGAATGATTGTGTGGAGAATAAGCGGCAGCAGTGGCAGCCCGGTCAGGCGGCAAAGGGACGGCTGCTTGGCTCAAGTAGCGCAAGTCGCTGACCTGCGCATCAATCTGCTCCATTGCGCATTGCGAGGCCCCCGCGGACCAGTTTTTGTCTGATTCTCGCGTTCGATTGTGAGCGACTGTCAAGCGATGGGGGACAGGCGAGTAATGGCGATTGTCCTCCCCTGTTTGCTCAGGCAGGTAAATAGGTACCTGGGTAAGGTACCTTACTGTCCCCTCCTTAGCCTCACTTCTTTTTCGGGTATCGGGACTTTCCTGCTCCCAGCTAATCCCGCCGGGCTTCACGTGACCGGCTGAGCCTCCGATCACGCGCTGGTGTAGCCTACTCCACCTTTATGTATTGCGATAATCGAATGATTGGTCGCCATGTTGAGGCTTCAATTTTGATGACGGCATTTCGCCAATCGCCCAGCATGTCAACCGACGCAACCGAGGCTGAAGGGCGCAGCATTGACTCTCAGATCCACCCACGAAGCCAGAAGATAACACTACCTTACCTTAAGCCTTAGCAGATGCCGCAAGTGTGTTATATGTGAATATGCAATATTGAGTAATTGGCCCTAATGAGGGATAGGAGTAGGCGCAGAGATATAAGATAAGGAAGGTATCTTAGGTAAGGTAAGGTAGCTTGAGCTGGAGTAAGGTAGTTCAGTCAGTCAGCATTCGGCTTCCGTGGCACGGTGCAGGTACTCGACAGACACGGATAAGACTTGAAATCCTGAAAAGGTCTTTCAGGTCGTCACGGATCTAGAAAGTGAGAATTTCACTGATTCTGCGAGAAACGTTTCGAGCGCAACAAATATGTCTTCACTCGTAATATCTTGTTACAAAAAGGTTGACTTAATTGCATGCTCTTGAGTGGCTTAGCTGCCATTCTCATCAGGCTACCGGTGCTGACCGTGGCCAGGGTCCCCGAGCCTAGCTTACATAAGGCTTTAAACTTTCTTGGTGGGGGTCCTGGTTCTGCCGCACCTCACCACCAAAAAGTTTCTCGAAGCCCAGAAAATTCGCCCAGCGTCGCGCAGCGGGACCCTTTGTTAGTCGCCATACATATCGTGAAGGACCTACACAATGTCAGCCCATAGAAGAACGTCTGACTGGCAAGACAAGCCGGCAAAGGGTATGCGACACTTCATTACAAGCAGTATTGCAGTACTGACGTTAGTTCTCCCCTAGATCTCGACCCTGAGGCTGAGCCCGTCGAGGAGAGCGAAGACGAGAGCGGCAGTGAAGAAAGCGCAGACGAGAATGCGGGCACCGAGCACTATGTCACAGTTGGGTACGCTACACGCACAACACATCGCACATTTTGATCTCTTGTAGGGAAACTGACCGTTGCCACAGCAAGAGTAAGCTCCGGGAAAAGGAAGGCGTCTCTCTGGGTCCGAATTACCGCGGCGCCCGCGTCAGCCGCGATGCGCTGAACGACTCGAGCAACGATGATGACAGCGAAATATTCGAGGATGCGCAGGAGGACCTGGATTCGGATGGTGAGGAGTATGACGATCCCGACGCCGCCGACCTGGCTGCCGACGAAGCAGCCGCCGGAGACGAAGACATCGAGATCTCAAGCGACGACGCCCTTGGCGAGAGCGATGATGAGAAGCTTGATGGCTTTGTGTTCCGCGGCAGCTCACAGCCCAAGGACAAGAAGGGAGGTCGAAGCAAGAGGCCCACTGCTGCCGACTTCATCTCCGACGACGAGGGTGATGGTGCGGCGCTGGACGACAACGACGACGACGATGAGATGGATGACTCGGAAGATGACAACGAGGGTCTGACGGATGGGCTCGACGGGTCAGATGAAGACGAGGAAGATGAATTGGGCTCGGAAGAAGAATCTGAAGAAGATTCCGAACAAGCTTCAGACGAAGATGACGAAGATGACAAGCCTCGCGGCAAGTCCTCGAAAGCCGATGCCAGAGCCGAACAGCGAAGGCTCATGAACGAAGGCTCAAAAGCCCTCGCCGCCTCAATCTCGGCTGCCGCGCAGCAAGACGCCCAAAAGGGTCTCGCCGTCCGCGAGCAGCGCAAGACGTTCGACGGCCTCCTCAACATCCGCATAAGGCTGCAAAAGGCCCTCGTCGCCACAAACTCCTTCTCCACCGTCGAAGTCGAGGACGAAGGAGAGGAGGAAGAGCAAAACTCTGAACCGTACGAGGCGGCCGAGGAAGCGGCGCTGAAGCTGCTCAACACCCTCGACAGTTTCCGCGCCAGTCTGCTCCCCGCAGAGCTGCAGCAGACCGGCGGGAAGCGCAAGAGGGGTGACGCATTTGACGCCGCGACCTCGAGTCAGGAGATCTGGGAGGGCATCCAGCAGGCCGAGGAGCGCGCGGCAAAGTACCGCAAGAAAGTCCTAGAGACGTGGTCCAGCAAGACGCGCAGCGCCATCGTGGAGGTGAAATCGCGCAACCTTGTCTCATCGCAGACGTCCATCGTCGCCTCCCTCGAGGAGCAGCTCCTCGGCACCGACCGCCTCATCAAGCGCACGCGCACCCCGCGCTCCTGCGCGCCGGCGCAGGTCGCGCGCAAGGTCAACGAGGACCCCGAGATCTACGACGACGCCGACTTCTACCAGCTTCTCCTCAAGGAGCTCGTCGAGCAACGCACCACGGATAGCGGTAATGGCGTTGCGGCGCAGCCCACAGTGCGGTGGGCGGCGATGAAGGAGGCAAAGACCAAGAAGCACGTCGACAGGCGCGCTAGCAAGGGCCGCAAGATGCGCTTCAACATCCACGAGAAGCTGCAGAACTTCATGGCGGCCGAGGATCGGAGGGCGTGGGAGCAGGAGGCGGTCGACCGGCTGTTTGGCACGCTGTTTGGTCAGAAGATGGAGCTCGGCGAGCAGGCCTCAGATGCGGAGATGGAGGACGACGAGGAGGTTGATGCCGAGGAGGCTGGTCTGCGGTTGTTCCGCAACTAGATGGTGTAGGAATGGAATAGCCAATGAGGGGGACTGGGCACAAAAATTTGTACATTCACGACGACATCCCAACGATATAGACTGGGGCCAAAACAATCATGGCGGTGAATTCGCAGCTTAATCTCAAAGACCATGAATGCAACCTCTTGTATCTCGTCACATCATAGCAGTCCTTACAAACAACAAGAACATGCCAACATGTACCGAGAGATGAACAGCCGGACCCCCGAGCGTCTTCAGCGTCGCCTCCCCCTTCTCCTTGCCGAGACCATCCACCTCGGGCCTTTTCAGCCGCACATAGGCGCGGCAACACGGCCAAACATGCCAGAATGCCAGCGCCGCCGCGACTTGCCTACTCGTCTTGTCGAACGGCCGCGATATGAAGATGAGGCATATCAAATTCGTGCTCAGCAGTAACCCAGCAAATTGTTGCAGCACCAGCTGCGCGGCGGCCGGAGGGTTGCTCAGCTGACTGCCGGGCTTGAAGATGAAGGAGCAGGCGGCGGCAGTCTCGATGGCGATGTGTAAAAGGAAGGGAAGTTTGACGAATTGGATTGATGACAACATTATGAGGGTAAGGTGATGCGGCTATGTCAGCGCCAGCTGGGGGCTGAACGAGTAGAACCTTTGGGTGTGTGTGGAACTGTGCATGCTGTGAGCGTCGCTGGTTGTAATGCAAGTGATTACCGTGCTTCATAGCGCACCTACCTACGGCGGTTACTGCTCCTCTCTCTCTCTCTCTGATTGCAGATGCAGTACATCGTAGTCTTTCCGGAGCTCAACGTCCGGAGCTTGAAGTCCGGAACTGGGTCGGTCAAGGTCACCGGCGCGGCGAGACTCGATAGTCGGCCGTGGAGCAACTCAAAAGTCCGAGCGGAGGGATTGAAACTCTTATGATGGAACTTCCCTGCGACTTCGATTTTGCTTCGCTCGTAAAGACTGAATTCAGCAGAAATTTGTTCCGACAAATTCAAAGTTTCCACGTTACTTAATTTGTTTTTTTCTGCGGATGTTTATTGCCTACGCACCGTGTGCCTAGGGAAATGAAGCCCACGGAGGATCCAGAGGGATGCGGCAACTCACGCTCAATGGCACAACAGCCCTGTCAATAACTGTACCTTACAAATTTATTATGCCTTTTCAAGGTACATAGGTACGCAACGAGACTCGGTCAGCTCCATTCGAGTGCGTTTGGCTGGTTTTCGTGAGGGAGAGCAAGGCCAGTAACCCTGCCGATTATGCATGAAAAGTTGCGACATGCCCCAAGCTCGTGGTGCATGGGAAAGCTCTGGGAGCCGAGGTGTGAGAATTTCAGCTACTGGGGTTTTCAAGCAGCTGCAACTCTCGTAACCGCCTAAAGCTCCCCCTGCTCAGCTCCGCTCGGTCTGCCGCACCAGGACACGCGATCTTAGAGGCTGGAGCTAATCCATGAATCATGACGCGTAGCTCTTGACAAGACATACTACTATGCATATGGAGGCTGTGCTTGATCTGCTTGGCAACGGTTGAAAGAAAGAGATGGCAGCACCAGGGCGGGCCGCTTGTCCTCGTGGGATGGGCCCCAAATCGGTTCGGTTTCTGGAAACAGACAGATAGCAAAGGTGGTAAGCCGCAAGAGTGGAGGGAGTGTGACTTGGGATGGAACACAGCATCGGATGAGACATGCCGACCTCTTGGTCATGGCAAGAAACCTACTTTAGTAGGCATGAGACGAAGAAGAGAATGGCCACCAACCGGCACACCACATCTCTCAAGAATCCAACCATCAGCAGTATCCAAGAACCCCCCCCACCCCCCCCCCCCCCCCCCCCCCCCCCCCCCCCCCCCCCCCCCCCCCGCCCCCCACCCCCCCACATCCCCCCCCCCCCCCCCCCCCCCCCCCCCCCCACGCCCTCCCTCTTGGCCCCTTCCCCTCACCTTCCCCTCACCTCCAACTTTGAGGTGTACTGAACTCCTCTTCACCGGATACCCGGTAGTCAATGACCCCGGGACTCCGACTCCGCGGCTCCGTTGGC